TAAATGCACAAAAGAAAACCAGAGCAGACATTTTTCACCAGTCATTTTCATATGACTAATGTGTTGGTATGTGAATGTGCACATGTTTTAGAAAGGAAACTGTGCATGGTGTAAAGTACAGAGAATTTTTAGGTTTCCTTTTTATTTTTATTTTATTTGTATGAGTCTTCTTACTTGCATGTCTATATGTGTACTACATGCATGCCTGGTACCCACAGAGGCCAGAAGAGGGTATTGAATCCTATTGCTATTACCATGATTGTGGGCCACTATGTGGGTGCTGGGAACCCAACCTGGATCCTCTGGAAAAGCATCAAGTACTCTTAACCACTGAGCATCTCTCCAGCCATCCGTGGGCATATGCAATGCATTTGGAATGGTAGAGGCATGTTTTCCCATTGAACAAGTTGATACTCTTCATTGCTCAGTCTGCATCAGTTGAAAGTAATATTCATGACAGCCTCGCCCAAAGCAAAGACTTGCTTGTGTCTCACAGAAGCTGATTTCCCATGATCTCAAACCCCTTGCCAACAATGATGGGTTTTTCTAGTTTGTGACAGTGATTCTATTGCCTTGATGAGCTCATCTGAAAGGGTGCTTCCTACTTTACTACTTCAACTAGTAAGGAAAGGGGATACATAACAGCCAGAAAATACCATGTTTTCAATTCATCAATTCTTTTACAGAGAAAAAAAAATCCCTATTTCAAAACAAGGAGTTTCTGGAAACAACACTGTATCAGATTTACATCTAGTTACATGCTCCATGATGAAGACATTCTGATCCACTTACACAGGACGGCTACCACGTCTCTCAGAAAATGGAGCTGGGGCTGGAGAGGTGACTCAGTGGTTAAGAACGCTTGCTGTTCTTATAGCAGACCCAAGCTCAGCTGGGCATGGTGGCACACTTTTAATCCCAGGACTCTGGAAGCAGGAGCAGGTGGATCTCTTGAGCTTGAAGCCAGTCTGGTCTACAAACTGAGTTCCAGGCCAGTCAGGACTACACAAGAAAACCCTGTCTCAAAAATGAGAGAGAGACAGAGACAGAGACAGAGAGACAGAGACAGAAGAAGAAAAACAAATAGAAAAAGACCAGCACTCACACTGTAGGTAACTCCAGTTCCAGGAGATCCGGTGCCCTCTTCTGGCCTCCATGGGCATCAGACACATATATACATGCAGAAAAAACACCTATACTTTATTTTGCAGTTGTAAATATTTGAAGCCAGACATTTTTCTTCCATTTTGGACATAGTGTAAAAGCATAGAAATAGATTACATATATACTATGTATCCAAAAATAGAGAAGAAAGTTTTCTTGTTCCTGTCACTGCTTTTGTAGTTTGTGATGAGACACAGATTATGGAAAACATTTGATAGGCAAACTCAGGGTCTCTTAGTATATTCACAGAGTCAAGTTATTGTCACTCTATCAATTTCAAAATATTTTCACCACCTTAAGGAATAACTTCAAATCCTTTACCTGTAACCCTTCCCTAGGTCCTCCCTCCTTCCCAGTCCTTTTCCACCAGTCTAAAATGTTCTCTTCACAGTTTCCTCATTCTTCTAGAAGTTTCCTATAAATATTCAGCCCTTCTTGGTGGGCTTCTATCACATGGTGTTTTCAAGGTCATCACTGTTATACCAAAACTCCATTTCTTCATATTGTTAAATAATCTTCCATGTGGCTGCCAGCTGAAGGTCTTAGTGCCACTGTTACTTCGTGCCTTTATTTGTAATGTTGAAATGATTTTGTGGACATATTTTTATTTCTTTGCTATTGAATTTTATCCCTTGAGTTGAGTTTGCTGATTTCACTGTCTTGGCTTTTAATTATGCTCCCTCTCTTTCCACATTTTATTCACTTGTCATCATTTATTCAGAATTGGCTCACAATTTACTGAAGATTCTTCCAACTCTCTTTACCTTGTGTGTGCAGAACAATTAAGCTGTTAATTGTGTATGCTTTCTTCATTTGGTTTCATTTCACTTTGTTTTACGCCTTAATCTTGTCAAAGTAAAAAACTGCCTAGAGGGGAATTAATGTTTGATAAGAATGCCACTTTTCCTGGTAAACACTAAAATGTTTTTGCTGAACAGTTGATAGAGCTTAGTTGGTGCTTACCTAGCATGTAAGACCCTGGACTCCATCCTCAGTGCTGAAAAGACAAAACAAAGCAAACAAAACAGCATATTTAGGATAAAATTAGGTACTTCATACAATACTCATAATTTCCAACATTCACATTAGAAGAGTTTCCATCTAAATACATGTTAAAGACTTAAATATAAAACTTCATATACTTCAGGATTATTTACCAAAAGACTTAAATATAACCCTTCACCTGCTGGAGAATTATTTACCAAATGCTCGTACTTTTCTCACGATGGAAAAAGAGACCTACCTTCCCTTATAATGGAGGCTGACCTGTGATTTGGGTTTGTAGTGATTCAACAACAGAGAGGCTCTCATCAAAGCTCTTCTGATGTGCCAAGTCTTGCATGTTACCCCTGGTAACCACCACCTGCTCATCAGAGTGCTGGCTGACACAGAGGAAGAGAGCCTTTCTTTATTCAGTTAAGTCCGATGCCTCTGACAGTTGCCTCATCCGCACATAACCTTGCCCCAGAGGTGCAGTTTGCCTACGGAGAGAACCTCCAATGGAAGTTAGTTTGCGGGGAAACAAATTAGGTGGCCAGTGTGCCTACAAAAGTTCCGTAACTTAACAGGGGTCCGTCTAGGGCCTCCATTTTGCTGCCACCTTCACTGCCTTTAAGGATATTCCATGCACCTGGTATGGAAGGTTTCTGTGAACACGCTGACTGCCTTAGGGATAGGATGGTGTGAGAACAGCAAGGTGCTGATGCCAACAGCAAAGGCTGTCTATGGTGTAAAGGGAAGCCTTCCCGCCAGCCTGGTTCCAGAGCCGCATCAGTCCCAAATAAACACACAGGAGGCTATATTAATTATGAAGCTGTTGGCCTTGCTTGTTTCTTACTGGCTAGCTCTGACTTAAGTATTTATCCCATAGTTGTTAATCTAAGTATGTCCCTTACCGGAGAAGTTTCCGGGCTTCCTACCCCATGGCATTACATCTTGACTCTCTGTGTTTCTCCTACCCAGAGTCCTCCTCGACTCCTAGTCCCACCTATCTTACTTCCCCATTGGCCAACAGTGCTTTATTGACAAATACACAAGACTTCCCCCATCACTATGGCTCAATATGTCTTTCAAATTCTTCCAATTACTTTATGCATATTTTCTAATCTAATCATCCATAAAGTCCAGTGTTAGAAGCTGTAATTACCTCTCTTTTACTGATGAGGTAGCGAAGGCACAGAAAGCTAATTTGTTTAAGACAGTTACTATTAGCAACAGGAGCTGGGTCTCAGACACAGGCATCCTGCATCCTGCATCCTGTATCTCACTTAGAAGCTGCCTCTCACACTTTCCATTAGCATCCAGTTCTACCCCAGAGTATTATGTTACTTTTGTAATCATTGCTTGAATAGCTCTCGTTATTCATCATATGAATTATTAAAATTACAATTGAGTGGTACTTTGAACATGTAAAAATTCACCATAATAGGATTTCAACTTTTTTCTCATTTGCCAATTTTGTCAGTTTGAGTATCTGAGAAAATATGATTTCAAAACAAGAACACCAGCCGGGCGGTGGTGGCGCACGCCTTTAATCCCAGCACTCGGGAGGCAGAGGCAGGCGGATCTTTGTGCGTTCGAGGCCAGGCTGGACCGATAGCCTCCGAAACAATACAGAGAAACCCTGTCTCGTAAAAACCAAAAAAAAAAAAAAACAAGAACACCATATTTCAGTCAGTCATAAGACAGGTCAATGACTCAGATCACAATATTTTAGATTTGGTGGGGATAAGATCCCTTTTGCAATAACTCAGTTAACTCCACAGTAATTGCACAAAATGTGCCCTCAGTATACATATAAAGGGATGGTGGCTGTGTGCAAGATAGGGCTGGAGGGATGGTTCATTAGCTAAGAGCACTAGCTTCTCTTTCAGAGAATCTGGGTTCCATTCCCAGCATCCACATAGGGTAGCTCACACTGCCTCTATTTGCCTCCAGCTCCCAGGGATCCTATGCCCACTTCTGGCTTCTACAGGCATCTTCATGCATGTGGTGCATCTACACACATTGAAGCACACATACATACATACATACATACATACATACATACATAACATACATACACAAAATAAGTGTTTAAAAAATAATTTTGGTGTGAAAATGTTATGGAAAGGTCTGTACTGGTCTGTACTAGAATATTAGTAATTTTTTCGTTTTAATTCTTTGTTTTAGTTTCAAGAGGCCCAGAATCAACAAAGAGAAGCTGTACAGAATTCTCAGAAGATGCAGGATCTCATGCAGAAGTATAATTTAAAGGCGCATACACATGGGACTGGAGAGGTGGCTAAGTGGTTAAGAGCACTGGCTGCTTTTCCAAAGGACTTGGGTTCAATTCCCAGCACCCTCATGGCAGCTCACAACTGTCTGTGATTCCAGTTCCAGGGGATCTGACACCTTCACAGACATACACGCAGGCTTTACCAATGCACATAAAATAAAATTAAATTAAATAAAGGTGCATATACTTAATATGAATATTTGCACAGTGAATTATCAGTGTAGTGTAAAAAAAATCATATCAGTCACAATAAAGATAGCTCCGTGAAGATCAAGGGACATTTCAGCTTTGTGTTCCTTAGATCTAGGGATACTGCTCAGTGAGATGAATAGGGCATACTTTGTATACCCAGGGCTCTGAGTTCAACCCTCACACTATAAAGGAAAAAAACTGTGTGATATTTGTTCATTTTACCTAAAATTTGCACATTCTCTCTAAAACTCAATTAGAAAATGAAATAGTATCTATCTCTCAGTTCTTTGAGAATTTAAGTCCTTTGTCATTATACAATGTTGTAAAAAATCATCTGTAAGAATAACTGTTTATAAAACACATTTAGGCTTCAAGCTGAATGTTCTGAGGCAGAAGTTACCATACAGGAGCAAGGAAAGAAAATTGCAGAGCTTTGGAAGCTACACGCAGGTTTGGTGAGTCAGCTTCTTGCTCACCTCTGTCTCATGTTTTCCTTTCCCTAACAGGAACGTTGCAAGAAACGTGAAAAATATATAACTGATATAAATATTCGATGTATTCATATTGATGCCCACCCTCCTGTTAGTGAAAATCCTCTTTGCTTTATAGGAGGTTTGACTGAATTCATAAAATAATGATTTTGGTAACCTGCCTTAATGCATATTATTCTTGATAATTTTTTGAGAAAGGGCTACACAGAGAAACTCTGCCTTGAAAAACCAAATAATAATAATAATAATAATAATACAAAGAAAAGTGAAATATTAATCAATTAGAGCAATTGTTCTCTGTGTAGCCCTGGCTGTCCTAGAATTCACTCTGTAGACCAACCTGGTATGCCTCTACCTCCCAAGTCTGCACCACCACTGCCCAGCAATAAAATGTTTAAGAAATAATAGTTTATATCAAGATTCATAAGTACTTTTTATATTTTCAAAGGCTGGAGACAAAGAGGAACAGCTAAAGAAACTCAACAAAATCATATCATCTCTGAAGTGTTCTTTGAACCAAAAGAAGAATAAAAATGAAGAATTAGAGAGGGAGTTTACTGAGTAAGATTTTAATATTTCAACTCTCTTCACTCAGGGACTTATTTAATTAACTTTATTAACACCTAAACATGAATTCATTTTATAAGTTAACAACCAAAAACTTACTGTTTTCTAAAATTCACTTTAGAAACTCACAACTCAATCTGAAAATTTGGAGGCTAAAATATGTATTCCCTCTAGCGATCCTGAAAACAATGATGGTGATGCCTTTGGCATGATTCTGTACATTTCTTCATCCACCTTGAATTTTTCTTTATTTTTTTTTGTTCTTTGAGATTTCCTAAATTGCTTTGATATTTACCCTCCCTTCTCCTCCTAGGCCCATCCTCCTCCTTTCCCACCCACTCAACTTTGTCTCCTTCTTTTTTTCACCCACCAACTCTAATTTGTGCTGCCCACCTTCCTGAATGTGTAGCCTCCCACTGGCACGTGGTTGACTTTCAGGGTCCACACTTATAAAGAAAACTGACTTTTGTCTCCCAGAAGCTATTAACTGTCCCCCCCCCCCGCCCTGCCAGAGAGGTGTGGCTTCACGTCCACCTCTGCTTTCACTTGCTGAGACAGGTTTGGCTTGAGTTTGTACAGGGCTTGTACATGCTGTCAGAAATCACTGTGGTGATTATATGCAGCTACCCTGCTGCACCTGCACGGCCACTGTTTCACTGTAGTCATCCACTGCCTCTGGCTCTTACAGTCTTCAGTGTCTTCTTCCTCAGTGATCCCTGAGCCTTGGGAGGAGGAGGTAAGGCTAGTTTTTCCTTCTTTTCTTCTTCTGGTAGCACCCTTCATTCAGCATTCAAACATTTTCCTACCTAAAACACTATTATCATAATTATCTTGATTTAGCTTTTACTTTCTTTCCGCCTTTCTTTTTTCAATTATAATATCATGCAGACATCTTTCTTTTGCTAAACTTGTTTATTACATATATGTATATACATATGTATATATACATATCTATATGTATCTGTATATACACACATACAACTAAAATATAGTCACCCCAGTACCTGCAGAAGTTTAGTTTTGGGACCTTCCACAAATACCAAAGTCTATGGATAGTCAGCTCTTGTATATAAAATGATGCATATTTACATATAGCTCATACATACGCACATTTTTCTTCTTTTCCTTGATTACTGATCTTTGGATTACTCCTAATTGTTAACCATTAGTTAATGCTTCTTATTGTAATACTAAAGTAGATATTAATAGTTAAAACAATTCAGTATATAGTACAGTTTTTATTCTTTATCTGCGATAAATACCATAGAAATTTCCTTCATATTATTTAAGATTATAATTTCATTAGAATACTTTCAATAATTTTAAGTTGAAACTTTTTAAAAAATATGTTAAAATGTGATATACAATCCATTTGAAAAATTAAGCATTTACTGTTTAAAAACTTCCCATACTGACTCTGTACACTTTTGCAGAATAAAGAAACACTTAGAAGTAATGAGAAAAAAACTGAATGATCATGAAAATAGAGAACTTAGTTGCCATAAAGATTTAAAAACTAAAGAACTTGAAGTGAACACTTCAATGGATATGATGAAAAATGAGGTAATTCTAACTTGTTTGCAGACCAAAAATATAAATGCTTAAATGTTCATACTTAGTGTCAATTAAAATTATTTTTTCCATTGAAAGAGTATTGTTGGTATGTAAAGGCAAGCAGTACAAACTCACACAAACCACTAAATCATGAATAACATTGATTTTATTTGGTTTCGGTGTTCTATGTTGCATGGGATGATCAAAAAAGAAGGATACTTCAAGATGTAATTCAGGCTCTATGGTGGCAGGAAGGAACCGTTTTGAGGAACTGAACCTTGGATAATCATACAAATGTGAATTATTGATTGTTACACAAGAGTTGTTTGGGGGGTAAAATAGGTTCCTCATACCCAAAGCCCGGATAAAAGCTACATGTTTTCTGAAGGAATGCATCACACCCTGCAACTTTAGTCCTTATTGTGTACTGTTTGCAGTAATGCAAGACACTTGAGGTGTGCCAGGATTGTCATGTGAATATCATCATCCCTTTCAGGAAAACAAACTCTAAAAGTCACAGAAACTAACCACTGTTTTCCACAATGATTTTTTTCAAGGTCTAAGTACTTTTAGAAAACAACTATTTCATCCTAATGTATACCCTAGATGCAGTGAAAAACAACTATTTCATTCTATTGTTTCCCTAGAGACAGTGATTCTACTCATTTTCCCTCTACATTTTGCTAATATTCAGGCATTTGTACTGGCCTGGCCTGGCCTTGGGGTTCTGACAGGATATGCCCTCAGCTGCAGCCATTAAGAGCATCACCTGTGAATATTCAATATGTTCCCTTTTAAAAGGGTCCTGCCCACCTCCTATCCTCTCTCTCTCTCCCTGTCTGTTCCCCCCCCCCGGCCCCTCTTTCTGGAGGTCGCTCTCCCCCCTCCCCTTTCCCATTTTTATGACCCCTTTCCCTAATTGAAAAAAACAAACAAACAAAAAACCCTCTGCTTGAACCCTGTTGCATGGTGTCTTTCTCTCCTGCACTGCTTTTCTTAAATTACAACACACTGGTAGCTGTTTTATTGGGCTATAACTACATACATTTGTACTCTAATCATTTAACTGAGGCGTGTCAGTAGCATTTGATATAGCTGCAGTGCTTTGCAAGCACCCTTAATTGTTGACTGCTCTCAGCACCCTATGAATGAACCCAAGTCTATCTTCAAGCTAGAGACATGACCACTAAGTTTACACTTCACAGGTTTATTTTGAGTTCATTTGTAAGCATGTTAGATAGTAGAAGTACAACTTTATTCTAGGTGTTCCAGCATTATTTCTTGTTAGAAAAGCTTTTTTTTCACATTTGTTTTCCCACAAATGTTGAAAATCAATTCACTTTTGTGGAAAGATTAAACAACCACAGGATGTTGTCGAATTAAGACATTCTTGTTTAAAAATGGATGGGTCCCATCACTAGACTTTGGTACTGGGAGGTTCTTTCCAGGTCCTTGCTGAAAATCATGACTTCTTGTAATGCAGCTATAACGATTTGAAGATAATGGCCTCTATAGGCTCACAATTTGATGCTTACTTCTCAGTGGGTGAAACAGTTTGGGAAGGATTGGGTGTGTGGCCTTGCTGGAGGTAGTGTGTCACCAGGTGTGAACATGGAGGTTTTGTTCCCAGTCTGCTGTCACACTCCCCACCATGATGGTCACTGACTTACCCTTGGCACTATAATCAAGCCCCAGTGAAATGCTTATCTTCATAAAATAGCTTGGCCATTATGTCTCTTCACAGCAATGAATATTTTACTAAGACAGCCATTCAAATGAACCAGACATCCCCAACTCAGAAAAAGGCATGCAATTTTGGATTCAACATCTTTCAGATTAACTCATTGCAATCTAATTTCCAGACTCTTGTTCTATGAGTCTTTGAGGTTGTTTTTTCTGTTGGTGTTTGTTGGTTTTTGTTGTTTTCAAGACAGGGTTTCTCTGTATAGCCTTGGCTGTCCTGGAACTAGCTCTGTAGAGCAGGCTGACCTCCAACTCACAGAGATCTGCCTACCTCGGCCTCCTGAGTAATGAGATTAAAGGTGTGTGCCACCACTGCCTAACTTGGGAGTCACTTATTGATGCAGACCTTTAACAACCTAAAACCAGTGTCCCTAAAACTTCCTTATAAGTTATAGGCATTAAAGATGGGAGAGGGGGCCGGGTGGTGGTTGCATGCCTTTAATCCCAGCACTCGGGAGGCAGAGGCAGGCTGGACCTCCAAAACAATGCAGAGGAACCCTGTCTCGTAAAAAAAAAAAAAAAAGATGGGAGAGGAAGAGATTCTTTATTAAGAGACAATTTTATGAAGGAAATAAATGAAACAAATCAGAAAAAAGCTTCAGGTCTGGTACAGATAGACATCTTGTGACATAGATGAATATATTTTGTGAAATGAGTCATTTGGGAGGCCGACACAAAATTCACTCCCAGTTGAGAAGCTATTGGCATTTGACAGCTGTTGGGAGACAGAGAGTCAATTGTCTTCCTTACTTTCTTTCTAATTTCAAAGATTTTATTTACTTAATGTTATGTGCATGAATGTTTTACCTGAATGTATGTATGTGTGCCAAATGCATGCCTGGTGCCCACATATCTCAGAGGTCATCAGATCCCCTGGAACTGGAATTACAGATGATTGTGAGTCAACAGGTGGGTTCTGGGAACCATACTCAGATCCTATGTGAGAGCAACAAGTTCTCTTAACCACTGTTAAACCTCAAAGTCAGTTTTCTTTGATGGTGTGACCCTGACATACTGACCATGCCCCAGGGAAGGACATACACTCAAAAGAAGTTGACCAACACAAATTGGACTCAATGGATTTGAGAGAGAGAGACAGAGAGAGAGAGAGAGAGACAGACAGAGAGAGAGAGAGAGAGAGAGAGAGAGAGAGAGAGAGAGAGAGAGAGAGAGAGAACACCAAGTTGTCTGAGCAGGAAGGTGGGGGGGTGGATTTGGAACTGGAGAAGGGTGTGTATCCTCCAAATACACTGTATGAAATCCCCAAAGAATTAATAAAAGCATTTTAAAGTACATTTTTATGATTCTTTATGGGTTTCATTATGTTGGTTTTATACAAGCTTCAATGGATTACATTCTGACTCTGCTATTGATTATAACATATTTCAACTGAATTTTTGTCAAAATTTGCTATTGTTTTTGTTAGACTTTTCCAACCTAAATCCTTTTTTACCAGTCTATGTGACTTTCTTTATTCATGTAGATCCATGAATTGAAAGAAAAATGGAGAACTATAAATGCCAAATATCTAACTCTGAATGTGCAATTTAAATACATTGAGCAGGAATTGTTATCAATAAAAATAGCACAAACACTATATGAAAAGATCCATAATGATCAGAAAATTCTGGAAAAAGATGCAGTAGACATGAAGCACCAACTACAAGAGAACATGGTAGGTCTGCTCGAGGAGAAATAGTGTCAGTGGGAGGAGGGGGAGGTGCTGAAGAGAGACGAAGTCATCATTTAGAAGGCGGATGAGACAGGCATCCACTTTTACATCATAACTTGTGTGTGTCCTCTGTGTGTCTAGAAGTCAGGTGACATCTGTTAATCCCTTTAATTACTTCAATTCCCATCATTAAAATACAACTGATCTTTCAGAATAGTCATTTTCAACTTTTTAGACAATTTAGCATAAAACAAGATGGGGGGAGTAAAAACTGCGATATTGAACTTCCAAGGTGCTTCTGAATTGTCCTTAAGTTATGCTGTTGGGAGATTTTTCTGAAATTTGAGTCAACTCTATCCTGTGAACTGTCTGGTTACATAAGGGCAAGCATGAGAATAATTCAGAACCAAGACTTGTAGCCTGACCAAACAAGGTTCAATGTCATTTTATGATTGGATTTAATGGAGTTGGTTTTCAAACTCTGGCATCTTATTTCACAAATTTAAAATTACTCTGGGAATCAATAACTCAAAACTAAAGTAAGCACAGCAAGTATTCTAAGTGTTTAGTGTAATTATTTTAATTTTCCATAGGCAAAATTAGAGGATAAAAAACATGCAAAGTCATTAAAAGACAGTAACAGTGATTTGGTAATAAGTCAAATGGAACTCAGGATTAAAAGTCTGGAATCAGAGCTTAAGAAAATGGAAGCTGGAAGAGAGTCCGATGCAAGGAAGGTAGAGAAATACAAGCAGTGCTGTGTTAAAGAGCGGGAACTCAGCAAGATATTATCACAGAAGCTCAACAAGTAAGCGGGAAACAGTCGCTCACTTTCTCTTGTGTGTATTTTCACTGAAATAGATTCAGCAGGATATGGGGACAGGTGATAAATTATAACTGGAAAATAGTGTCAGGAAATGAACCCACACTTAGAGTGTGGCTACAGAACACTTCCTCCTTTCTAATCTTTAGTTCTATGTGTTGTTCCCTCCTAATGATAGACTGGTCTTTCAGCTAATTAAGACAGTTATATTTTTATAAAAGTATGCTAACATTCTATCAAATAGAAACATGAACAATTACTTTCTTAGAAACACACCCCAAAGGACCCACAGTAATGACACTGGCCCTCCAGGCACCTTCTGGCTCTTGTCTGCCACTGTGTCCATTTCATCTCTGGTGTTACCGTTAGAGCTACCTGATGACAAACTTTACAGTTGTTCTGCTGTACATCAAGGCAGGATAGGTCGGCCCAGTGATGAACAAAATAACATTCACAATGTAGTTAAACACAATCCCTGGGCCAATGCTGGGGTGTGTGTGTGGCAGAAACGGCAAGTCCTATCTCAGAGATGACTTAAGATGCTAACTGCTCCAGGAACTACTCATTTTGTTTTTTAAATCATCAGGAGAACCATCTTCTGTCCCAGAGGCTGCTCCTCTGAATTTCCCTCTGTACCAAATGCTTAACTTGTTCCAGGGCATGGGTGAATTGTACATTGTGAAAACAAAACCTTGAAAATCTGTTCATCCATCAGCTCTTGAATCTGAAGCTGCTTTACTGCATACAACTATTTCTAGCTAGTTTGTGAGTTTTGGTTTTTCTATTTGTTTGTTTTTTTATTTATTTAAACATCTACGCCCCAAATACAAAGGCACCTACATTTGTGAAAGAAACATTACTAAAGCTCAAAATGCACATAAAATCTCACACACTAATAGTAGGAGACTTCAACACACCGCTGTTTTTGTTTTTTTGAGACAGGGGTTATCTGTGAAACAATCCTGGCTATCCTGAAACTCACTCTGAAGACCAGGTTGGCCTTGAACTCTCAGCGATCAGCCCACTTCTGCCTCCCCAATGCTGGAATGAAAGGCGTGTGCCAACACCGCCCAGTCAAGTTTTACTGTTTAATTGTGCACATTTTGTACATTTGTGTACATTTGTCATAGATCACCACACAATAGTTTGTTGTGGTTTTCTGTGGTGCAATGGTTACTATAGTCAATGAAGGAGACCCCCACAGCAGTAGGGGTTTCCTCCTGGGCCCCAGATTAGGCACAAACTACACCTGAACACCTGTTTTCACAGGGAGATCCTTTATTATGTGAGAAAGAAAAGTTAAAGTGGCTGCTCAGATAGAAAACAGCAGCAAATGACCTTACAGGTGTAATTCTTAAGAGGAGGAAAAGGGGAGATCTGTGTTAGAATGGGTTAGGATGTGGTGGTATATTTTGATTTGGCATGTTAATTAGGTGAACCAAAGAGGGCTTCTGATTGCTGGACTTTGGTACTCATCCTGAAGACTGAGTCTGGCATGGGAGAGTATCCAAACAAGGGAACAGACCTTGATGGCTTAGCTTTCAGAAAGTAATCTAATGGTTTTTAGCAAGGCAGAAGGAACAGGGGAGAGGGAAGGACAAGGCCTACCAGAGTGACATATTTGAATGGGCTAGTGTCCCTTCAATCAAGAATACGAGCATAGACAGCATCATCTCATCTTTGGCAGGTGTTCATCTCTCTCCTACTCTGAATTTACTTGTTGGCTTGGAAATAGATATACTTCTTTAGAACAAATTTAAGTGCCAAAGGTGTGTTCCAACAAGTCTTCAGCTTTAAGACATTAGCAAGTGGAAATAGGAAGTACTTTCTAAAGAGCCTGACTCATTTAGGACAACAAGAGCGTAAGAACTTGCCCTTTGCAATCTTCACAGGACTAACAGCAAACTGAGTAAAGTCAGAGCAGACACTCTGCTGGTGACAGAACAGAACAGAGCTATGCAGAGCGCTCTTAGTACAAGACCTGTCACCGAATGTCCTAGTGCCACAAAGCATAACACTTGTGTAGAATGCAATCCTAGCTTCATTCCAAGCAGAAACCCAGAGCCTTCTAGCTCCATTCCTCAGCCTTCTGAGTCTATGCGGAGGAGTCTGCTCAAGGTAAGCTGTATTCTGTTCTTTGGCATCCCAACTCTGTTATCTGACAGTGATGTTAATTCTTTTCATTTGGGGAGATATGGAACTGTTTAGTTGACTCATACATGTTCAGTAAAGGTCACAATAGTCAGTGTTCTCTAGGAAGAAAACATTTGTTTTCATTTTGTGTGTCTCAGCTTAAGCAACTTGGGGTAGCTGTTTGCTGGCCCAGGGCATGGGTTAACTGGTTAAGCTGCAGGTACTTGGAGTCACTTACAGGGGATGACCCTTTGCCACTGCAGTCTGATGTAGCTGGGCCATTTGACCAAGCATGTGAGGTCTTTTTTGGGCTGGATGTCCTGCCCAATGCCAAAGTCCTTAGACTTTTTCTCAAACAAAGGAGGGGGTCAAAAAAAAGGAGGGGGCCGCAGCTACCTTCTTCCCACTGGCCTTCTGTCCTGGGGCATCTTTCTCTGCTGGAGGAGAAAGAAAAGGGAATTATGGGTATGTAAGTGGTGGTAGAGACCCTAATTTATTATTCAATCCCAATGTGGTTTTAAGGGTTCCTGTCCAACATATCCTCACCAACATTTCTCGTTTTGGTGCATTTGAATGCGTTTTTATTGTACTTCTAATTTTCATTTCCATGATTGCTGAAAATACTGAACATGTTCTGTGTATTAATTAGATATTTCTACATATTTATTTGAAAGTGTTTACTTCCTGTATTTACTGATTTATTTATTCTTTTGATTTTTTTGAGTTCTTTATGTATGTGAAGTATCAGCTTCTTGTTAGGCGAATAATTGACAAAGTTTTCCCCCTTTCTATGATTTATCTCTCCTGATAATTTTTTTTGTTGGTGTGCATAGCTCTCATTCTCTTTTGTGTGTGTGTGTGTGTGTGTGTGTGTGTGTGTGTGTGTGTGTGTGTGTGTGTGTTCATGTGGGTGCAGTTGTGTGTGCACATATGAGCATGTGGAGGACAGTCTCTGCAACTTCCTACCTAGTTTTTTTTAATGTGTGTGTTGAATGTGTGTGAGGGTGTGGAAGCCAGAAACTGAACTCAGGTATCCTCCTCCCTCACTCTCCATCTCATTTTTGAGATGAGATCTCTCTGGATCTGGTTCAATGACTGGCTAGACTGACTGGCCAGTGAGCTCCAGGACCCCCATCTCTGGCCCCCAGCACTGGAATTGCAGGTATGTGCTGTCACACCTGGCTTCTTATGTGGGTGCTGGGGATCCAAACCCACGTCTTCGTGCTTGTGTGGCAGGCACTATGCCCACTGAGACATCCCTCCAGCCCCTCATTCTCTTTTCTCTGTGCAGAAGTCCAGGTTCACAGCTCATGCCTAGGGCCATGTCTGGGACTGGGATGATATCCGTGGCTCCAGTCGACACTGAGGGCTCTGCAGATGCCTGGGGTCTTACCAGCCATTTGGGACCATATTGGTGCCCCAGGGCCAAGTTGCCACCTGGGGCATGTTGATATGAGTGACCTATGCTGCCACAAGGGTCAGGGTGGCAGGCATACAGGCCAAGATGCTGCCAAGGGCCATTATTATTATTATTATTATTATTATCATTATTATTATTATTTACATGATGATGCCCGACATCAACATTGGATATCTTCTTCAACCAGATCATTCTCCACCTTATTTTTTGAGACAGGGTTTCTCAATGATCCCAGAGCTCATTGATCTGCTAGGATGGCTAGCCAATGGGCCTCAGAAATCAACCTGTCTTTGCCTCCATTCCCCTTTCCTTTATTTTATTTTTACTGGAAATAAGTCTTTCATAAACTATATTCCACTCCAGTGAGATTCTATTGGAGAAAACTCATTTTTCCTTTGCAAGAAGTTGTCAGTTGGAGATAGCATCTGATTAGGGATGGAGGCTTGTGTCCACTCCCTCCCCCTCAGTACTGGAATCCATCTGCCTTAGACCTGTGCAGGCCCTGTGCATGCTGTCTCTGTGAGTTCATGTGTGTGTAAAAGACACTGTTTCCTTGGTGACATCCATCTCCTCTGGCTCTTACAATCTTTCTGCCTCCTCTTCAGCATAACTCCCTGAGTCCTGAAGAGAGGGGTTTGATGAAGATATCCCATCTAGGAATTCGTATTCTAAGATCTCTCATTCTCCATACTTTGGTTTTCCCATGTGTCCATGGCATATCTAGTCTCAGGTTCTTGGCCACCCAAGCTGTGTCATACTTGGGTTCTGTCCTAAGTAGTTTTATGTCAAATTGACATAAACTAGAGTTATCTAAAAGGAGGGAACCTCAGTTAAGAAAATGCCTCCATAAGATCCAGCTGTAGGGCATTTTCTTCATTAGTGATTGATGAGAGAGGGCCCTGCCAATTATAGGTGGTTTTACCCCTGGGCTGATGTGTCTGGGATCTATAAGCAATCTGAGAAAGCCATGATGAACAAGCCAGTAAACAGCATCCCTCCATGGCCTCTGAATCATCTCCTGTGTCCAGGTAGGTTCCTGCCCTGCTTGAATTCCCATACTGACTTCCTCCAATGATGAACTGCAATGTGGAAGTGTAAGCCTAATAAGCCCTTTCCTCCACAATTTGCTTTTGGTCATGGTGTTTCATTACAGCAATAGTAACCCTAACTAGGACAGGTCCCATCTCATAGAGTGGGACTTAAATCTAATCAGATAGTAGTTGGTTACTCCCATAATATATGTGCCACTATTGTACCAGCTAATCTTGCAGATACATCACCATTGGTGTTTACTAGTCAGTAGAGGTAAAGGCTCTAGTTAGGCACCAGCTCAACTTCTCCATGTTCATTTTGATACATAGGTATCATCTTCAGCAATAGGGCCTTACCATCATTTTGTAGAGAGCAACCAATAGTGTTGGTAATAGGCTGACTTGTTTGGAGGTTTCTATTGGACCCTTTGATCAACAACTCAGTTTATGTAACCCATTCCTGGAACTGGAGGTTTCACTTGGTGACAAGAAATGTGAAATTGGGGCTTTATCTCCCCCATTATTTGGTTGTTCCATTTAAATTTCTTTCACATATGTATATATTTTAAGAAACTTCTACTTTAATAGGTTTTGAGGGGTCATAAGAGATGTATTTTAAGTGACATATCATTTCCACAATATCATTCTTTTGCTTTTAACATTATAAAATCTGACATTTCAGAAGCAGCAAAAAATGGCAAAAGACATAGCTGAAGAGGTAGACAAAGGTATGTTGCCAATGTGTATGTGTTCAACTTAGAGTAAATTTACAAAGCAAATTTAAGTGGCAAATGGAATCCCTGCCCTTTGGTTTGTAGATTCTACATTAAAAGCAGGCTTCCCTATTGAGTACCGTTCACCCGCATTTCTGTAGCTCCATAACTTTTCAAAACCTCCTCCTCATTCTTCCTCAACAATTCATTAACATCTGCAGTCAACCTCCTCAAAAACTACAACAATCATCTACTGATACTTAATCAATCACACTCCCTAAATTGTGACTTAACAAGTATCATTTTAAATCCCATTACTTATTTCTCATTGGCTTACCTTCTGCCCAGAAGAGGAAATACTGATTTCCTTATGAAGACTAGAAATACACAACTCAGAATGATCGTTGTCAAGTTATTCTGCCTTCTCTCTCACCACTCGCCTACTGTGGCCAATTGCTCCTGCTCTCAGTATCCATGGGTTAGTCATGTTCTTCCTCAGCTCTAGTGTTTGTATGTCTGAGTTTCTCCTTTATTCTCCTAATATCCCCTTATGTAACACCTCCACTGAAGAAGCTACAATATCAACACAACACTGGCTTGTAAGTCCCTCTGAGTGTTGTGGTGGTTTCTGTATCTTACCTGTCAAAGAATCTAAACCTCTGTACAGAAACTGCATGTACATCTGGTGTGGGGGTATATGAAGTGATTAGTGAGAGCTGGAATATATCCTCTCTCATCTTCTCAGTGCTCATCACAGTAGTTTAGTACCTGGTCTCTGAGTAAATGAGTGAAGAATGGGAATGCATGCTGACACTCAGCCCTGATGATAATTAATTCAGTGTGTATACAGGAGCAAACCATATTAATTTTAGTTTTGTATTATAGTAATACATATATATTTGTCACTTTTATCTCTTCTGATAAGGTTCTCAGCCTTTTTTTACTGACTCCTGCTGTTAACTGTGAAGTCTATGAGATAAAGATTGTAATTCTTACTTTTTCTTTCTAGCTACAGCTGAACTTGAGTGTTGGTCCTTGGAAGCTTATCCTTCAGGATTTAAATAACAAGTCAAGATCTACTTGAGGGAGATAACAAAAATATGTACAGATTGAAAATAAATAAGTTTTTCTTAAAGAAGACATTTTAGTGACCTGTTTATATAACATTTTAGTAGTTTCCCATAAATATACTATGTGATAACTGTATTGAAGGAACATATTTTTGTATCACATATGTGTGATAAAATTCTGTATTTAGGAGCTGGAGAGATGGCTCAGTGGTTAAGAGCACTTGCTGTTCTTGCAGTCAATGAGAATTCAATTCCCAGTAGTCACAAGTCAGGTAACTTCAGCTTAGGGGATCTAACACCCTCTTCTAGCCTTCAAGCGCACATGTAAATAAGTGTGTTTTCATGTACACAAACACAAAAAAATTAATCTTATTTTTAAACTGTTTCATGACATAAACTAATTTTTAGTGTATTTTACAAGTGAAAACATGTGTTACATACCCCAAATGGACATCACTATGATCATAGTGTTTTGATGTGTTAGTCATTGTAGCTCCATCAAACTTAGAGAATTTTGAATTTTTATGTTTTTAACTTTAAACACTGATCTATAGCCCTTTCTTCAAAGGAAAAAAAAACTTTTGCTGAAGGAATTTCATCTTTTCTGCTTAACTCTTTTGAAAATGTCTTAAAATTAGAGCATCACATACTATCACAGAGTTTGCCCTGGGTGGGCAGGAAAAAGCTAAGGCCCTGCTTAGTGCCTCTAGGACTGAGTGGCACCAACTGACTCACAAGCGCGGCCTGGGTAGTTTGCCCTGGGCAGGGCTAAGGGCCCATCCAGCACTACAAGGCAAAACTTTCAATCACTATAGATGGAGAAAGAAAAACATTTCATGATAAAACCAAATTTAAGCAGTATCTATCTACAAGTCCAGCTATGTAGAAGGTGGTAAAGAAACTTCAACCTAAAGAGGTTAACCACACTCAAGGAAACACAAAACATAAGTAATCTCAGATCAGCAAATCAAAAGGAAGGTGAAAACCCACACCATAACAATAAAATAAAAGGATTCAACAAACACTGCTCACTGATATTTCTCAACATTGATGGCCTCAATTCCCCCAATAAAAAGACTCAGGCTAACATACTGGATTCAAAAATGGAATCCATCCTTCTGTTGCATCCAAGTAACACAACATCAATGATAGATATCTCTTCAGGATGAAAGGCTGGAAAAAGATATTCCAATTAAATGTATCCAAGAAGCAAGCCAGTGTAGCCATTTTAATATGTGACAAAACAGACTCCAAATCAAAACTAATCAAAAGAGATAAGGGTCAACACTACATATTCATCAAAGGAAAATCCACCAAGAGGGTATTGCAATCTATACATTTATGCACCAAACATAAGGGTACCAAAGCTCATAAAAGAAACACTACAACAGATAAAATCACATATTACCCTCACAGTGACAGTAGGTGACTTCAATATCTGATTTCAGCCAATAGACCAGTCATATAGGCAAAAGCTAAACAGAGAAATTCTGGAGGTAAATGATGTGATAAACCAAATGTACCTGGCAGAGATTTATAGAATATTTCACCCAAACACAAAAACAATACACCTTCTCAGCAGCTCATAAAACTTTCTTCAAAACTGATCACATACTTGGACACAAAGCAAGTCTAATAGATACAAGAAAACTGAAATAACACCCTACATCCTACTCCCCAGATTAACACTGGACATCAACAACAACAGGAAGCTTCCAAACTGACGGAAACTGAACAACTCACTACTGATAAAAGAAAGAAAACAACTTGTTATAATTGAATGAAAATGAATATACAACATACTCAAACCTGTGGGACACAATGAAAGTGGTTCTCATGTTCATAGCACTAAGTGCCTACATAAAGAAATGGAACACTAGTAACTTAATGGTATGCCTGAAAGTTCTAGAACAAAAAGAAGAAATAATACCCAGAAGGAGATGGCAAGAAACAATCAAACTCAGAGCTGAAATCAATAAAATAGAAGAAACAAAAACAAAGAATCAATGAAAGGTGCTCTGCCTGTTATTTTAGAATGATCCCAGTGAAAACCTGCCAGAATAAGAGACAAAGGTCTCCAAGAGAACTCAGCCATAAAGGTCAGGGCTTTCAAATTCTATGTTGAAAGAATTTCAACTCTTTCCATCTGCAATAAAATGTTTAGCGTTTTTATGGCAGAAACTTCCATATAAGCAACAGTTACAATGTTGTGTGCAGCCTGACATATGGAAAGTGTTACGTGTCTAGAAGATAGTACTCAAGCTTTGGAGTTTAAAGCTAAATAAACGAACATGCAATATTCTAAAACATAATGAGATTTTTATGTAGCAGATATCATGAATTATACCACATTTTGAACAGAATTTTTCCCATTTAGGATTTTTGTGTCCCAATTTCCTGTATGGATGTTATAAGCTGAGAATAAAGGGATTTTAACAAACAGGTATAGAGGTATGTGTATGTTCTGGCCTGAACTGTAGCATAATGAGGGTCCACCCAATTTAGGGGCAGTGATTGTATCATTTAAAAATTATAAGCAGTTACATGGCTTAATGGGAGCAGTAGTTTCAAATTTTGACTCAATAGTGTAATATACTAATGATCTGTGCCATATGTTTGTATCAACATTTTTGCTTTTGTATTGTTCTTTTTGCTTTGTTTGTTTTTGTACACAGCCTTACCATGTAGTCTGGCTCACCTGGAACTCACTGTGGAAACCAAACCTGCCTCTACCTCCAGAGGATGAGTGCTAGGATTAAATGCAAACACCAATAATTAAACACTTTAAAGCCAATTTTTGTTCTTTTATAAATGCCCTTAAAGAGGGCGTTTGTTACTAGAACTGCTTGCTATAACAAGTATATAACCATAAAGAAAATCAGTGTGCATTCATGTACTAACTTAAAATCACCTCCTTTGCCAATATTGTAAATTACCACACCTGGGCCAACTACCTATGCTTGGTTTAGAGGTCTACCCTGAAGGCAAATGTTGGCAATGTATTTAATGACTGGATCTTAGATGATTTAGTCAAATTGTAGTCACGGTACAATTCAGTCAGCAGCGAAAGAGAACATGTTCGCCTGTTACCTTGTCCTGCCTGCACTACTAGCCTTTCAGAAGCTTTAAATTGCATGTAAATTACCTCAGAATCTCATAAAAAAAATAAATAAATAGATTCCGGTGGATCTGGAGATTCTGCATTTCAATCACTAAAGAAGAGTGGTGGGAGACTATTAAGTCCCTGAAGAGCCAAGCCTCCACCTTACACACACTCGCCGGCCACCAAATTCACAGTTTGGTGAGGTCTACAATAAAGGTGGCAAGGTGGACTTCCGGGGAACAGGAAGTACCGCCGAGGTCACGGACAGGACCGTTTTCACCGGCAGGCCTGGGACGAGAGTCTAGCGGGGCTGGGGTGACCGTGATGACTGCAGACACAGTTAGGACTACAGGGTGCATGTTCTTGCAGAAAAAGAACACAGAAGGGGTAACCGAAGCTCCCCGCTGCGTGCTCGCCTAGGAGACCGCTGGCGTCTCACGGCAAGAGCGGCTCCCGTACCGCCTCCAGGAGCAGTGGAGCACGGCGTGTGTAGAGAGTCGCCCGGACAAGGGGGCGTGGGCAAGCTCGCAGGGCACGCCGGGAAACTTGGTCCTCCGACACCATCTTTCTTCGCTACCGGCGGCGGTGACCGTGGGAAAGGGCACACGCTAGAGCCATGAAGTTCCTCAGCAAGGCGGGGTCCTTCTCGGTGAGCACAGAGGCGCGCGTGGGGCAGGGCGGGGGAGGCTTGTCGTCCACTCGGGGGCTGGGGCCGGGGTGTGCGGCCCTGGCCTGGGTCTGCCCTTCAGGTGAACCCCGCGGAGAAGCGGGCTGCCGGTGGGCTGAGGCCAAGGGGAAGCTCTGCCGGTCCTGTGAGCAGGGGAGAGCTAACGCCGGGAAAGCTGGAGAGAAGGGTGGCCTTGAGAGTGGCGCTGAAGCGACTCTCGGGAGACTCCTGAAGGTCACTCGAGAGCAGGGTAGGGCGGAGGCCGATGACACCCAGGCCGTTTGCTTTCCCAGCCGCGGCCTCTGCTCCTAAGTTTGTCCTGGAGCATCAGTCTCCCCACTGCCTGCGAGTGTAGTAAATACACCGGTGCGGTGCGACGCTTATCACAGGGCCCGCGCCTTCGTTCCTGTCAGTACTGAGTCCCGGCCTTGCTAACATGCTATTCTCCCGGTCTCTTATTTAAAGGCTTTCCGTCTTGACCTTTCCTCAAGGCGCCTTCCAAACACTAAATTATGTAGTTGTCACTGGGAGAGTGGGGAGTACGTCATGTGCTCGCACGTTATCGCTGTGAAACAGCGGTTATCAAGAGATGAAAATGGGAGCATCTCAATTTCAGCAAGGGTTAATTTGCCCCTACTAGCCGGTTACATGGGGTGGGGGGTTCCTAGCATCCCTTTGAGAGGGTGCTCCTGGCATCTGGACAGCAGCAGACCGTGCAGCATAGAATTACCAACGCCAGAATGCCAGTAGTATTGGTGTTAAGAGACCTCGACAGTAATGCAAAAGTCCAGGCCTGGGAATGGTGTTTCCTTCTTCTTTGTACTTACATAAATGTATCGCAGAATTGTACATATTTAAGCTATAGTTGTATTCCTTGTGCCTAGACCAACCAATTGCTAACAGTCCTTTGAGGGCAGTACTGCCTTACTTACTTTCCATGAGGCTAAATTGACAGTATGTGTTAGTAAAACAAAATAGAAATTATATGACAATTGAGAAGATAAGTCTTTTCTGAAAGGAGGGGGAAAGTGCAGAACCATTAAAATGTCACTACCCAGTAGCACCTAAATCTTGCTTGGTAATGGAACTGTGAATTATTCATATGTGAACTGTTATACTTGGATATTGTGGAATTATATCTTGGGAAATCACAGCCAAAAATCCCAAGTGGCTATACACACCTTATCCAGCAAACTAAGTTGATAACGACAAAGAGCTCGTTTTGATTCATAATAAAAAAGCAGGACTGAAGGGATAGTAGTAATACTAAGAGCAAATGAGGACCAGCAGCCAGATTAGCCCAGCACTAGGACAGTACAGAGTAGGAACATTGTAGATGTTTACAGGGACGTTTGTCAAACGACAGCAACATTTTTATTGAGCTTAGCCGCATGAAAATGTATTTGCTTGCATGTCCATTAGTAACCTTGTGAACCCTACATGTTACTGGAGTGTCAGAACAGCTTTATGCTCTTATATATAACTTGTAAATATATAAGCATATATGAATAAAGTTAACGCATTTTTAGATCCATCATCCAAGTTATTACATGTTATACTGAGAATCTATTGTTGATTTAATCTCTTGTTGGTCTTAAGAAGGTGTAGATACTTGGCCAAAGAAGCCAAGACCCTTCCTTGGCTGAATGTGCTCAGTATAGCACGTAAAAGGATGAAAATGCAGTGGGTATGTTTGGAGCTTTGAGAAAAGATCCTCAAAATTATCAAGGAGATGGAGGTTATTTTACCTGGAAAATAAGGAAATTGACAAATTGAGTAAGCAATAGTGCTGAAATGTATTTTTAAAAGTGTTGACATAACAATCCAATTGTTCAAAAACTTTAAAAACATTAGAACTAGAAGGAAACATTTAAAACTTCAATGAAATAATTAAAAGGTAAAGAAAATGCATGGTTTTATAAAAGATCATAGAGAACTCAATATTCTCTATAAATCATAAATAGGTAGAAGTTAAAGAATGACTTAGACCAGCCATGATAGAAACCTGTAGTCCCAGAGGAATCGTGAGTTTGGGGTCATCCTGCGCTACATTGCAAAAGGTTTTCAAAAAAGAAGGGGAGAAAAGAAAAGCTATATACAGGGGATAAATATGGCTTGGATAAACCAAAGGACTAAAAAACTTATTGATGAGTTACTTGTCTGGACTTCCCATGAAGATGGTGGTTTACATGAGGTCATGGTGTTGTGTGGCATTGCTAATGAAGGTCTTTTACATGTAAAGGACTGTTCTTGTGATAGCATATGTAACCTGTCTTTGTTGTTTTTAGAGATTTTATTCCCTCAAAGTTGCCCCGAAGATTAAAACTCCATCCGCCCCTGCAGGAGTGCCTCTGCAGCCTGAGGACCTTGAGGTTAGTCCCATGAGCTGCTTGCTCACTGGAGAGCTCGTCTGCTTTACTTAAACTCTTGGCTAAAGACGGGCGTGGGTCACATCTCTGTTCTGTCTTAACTACAGTTCACGAAATTACCAAATGGCTTGGTGATTGCTTCTCTGGAAAACTATGCTCCTCTATCAAGAATTGGCTTATTCATTAAAGCAGGAAGTAGATATGAGGACTCCAACAACTTAGGAACCTCTCATTTACTACGTCTTGCATCTAGTTTGGTAAGCATCTTTATCATCTCTGTGTTTGGAATTGATGTGTGGTCTTGGGCCTGTAGGGAATTAGCAAAAATAGGGCTGAGATGATTTAGTAAAGCCCTTACTGTGTAAGCGTTAGAACCTGAGTTAAACATCATCCGGGAGGTGGTGCTGTGTGCCTTTAGTCCTACCACTTGGGAGTTTGAATCTGCAAATAACAATTAAGGCCATAGATTTTGATAAAGTGATGTATGGCAGACCTGGCATTGAACAACTATTAAGAAAAGCATCCTTTCTTTTTCAAGACTACCAAAGGAGCATCATCTTTCAAGATAACCCGTGGAATTGAAGCAGTTGGTGGTAAATTAAGGTTTGTTAAATAGTAATAAGAAATAGCCAGGGCTGGAGAGATGGCTCAGGAGTTTAAAAAGGTACATTGTCCTTGCAGAGAACCCCAGTTTGGTTTCCAGCACCCACATCAGACGGCTCACAACTACTCTAACTCCAATTCCAAGGATCCAACACTTTCTGGCCACTACAGTCAGCTATATTCGTGTGTACACACCCTCACAGACACATACTTGTACATGTGATTAAAAATAAAGTCTTTGGGGTAGAGGGAGCTAGGCATGGTGGCATATGTGTTTAATAGCTTGGGAGGCAAAGGCAAATGGATCTCAGTAAGCTCCAGGCTTACAGTAAGCCAATACTGTACAGTCTTAAATGGTGTTGGGGACACAGAAATATTCAATTATAGGGTGACTCCTCTTTGTTGACAAGGGGGCTGAAGATTTCTTAAGTAGAAGGAAAAAGTTGATGAATTGACATCAAAAATGTGAAACATGGCTGTGCAAACAGTAGATATATGTGGCTGATTGGAAGTAGATATAGTATACACAATATGTAAAATATTTCTTATTGGGAAAAGTAAAAATTATAAATCAGGGAGAAAAGAGGAAAAAAAACTAAAAGGAAAGGGGACAAAAATTAGGAAAAGGCTATTTCCCAAAGAGGAAAGCAGAAGTAGTATCAGCAGTGTGGTGCTGTGATGCCATGCCTGTGTTGTTTTTAAGACTAGAAGCTGAAAGTCCAGTTCAAGGAAATGGGTAAAGAATGATAGCCGTGGTAGAACTATGAAGAACTGATAATTTGGGGATAGAAATATCTCTGGTTAAGAATGCCTATTGCTTCTCCAGGGGACCTGTAATACCAGCTCCAGCGGATCTCACACCAGCATCATACACATGCACACATATAAATAAAATAATCTTTTTTGGAAAATGAACTAATGTTTCACTTCCTAATTACAGAACAGTTAGGAAGTGAAATGAATCTGTATATCTACATAAAGAGTTTAAAAACAAAATACTTAGGGGTATGGTTTCTAAAGTTAGGGATAATAAGAGAATTGTTATTGAAGGGGTACAAGAAGTCTTGAGTATTTGCCCTTTTGTTTTTCATTGTAACGTATGTAGAACATGAAACTTGCCATTTTAGATATATATACAGTTCCATGGCATTAAGTGGCATTTGATAATCATTACCACTTTCTACCTCTGGAACTTCGTTGTTGTCCTCTGCTGAAACTCTTCCAATAAACTGTGGCTTCCCTTTCCCTTTATCCTTGGCCACCATCATATTTTCTCTGATTTTGACTGTCTTTTTTGCTTGGAATGTTAGCTTTACATTTTACTGTCATTTTGTTCTTCATAGGAATAAATTATACAAAATATGTTTATTAGTAACTTACTTAATATAAGGACCTCAAGGTTCATCCATTTTGTAGCATGTGTCAAAACTTGATTACTTTTTAAGATAGATTTATTTGTCACTTTTTAAAAATTACTTTAATTTTTAGTTGAATAAATATTTTCACTAGCATATAAACAACTGTATGCTTTTAAAAAGAATATATAAGAAAGCTATTTTCTGATTCAGATTATTTACTGTAATTTATTTTCAATTCAGTGTGTCAGCAACAAGGGAAAACATGGCTTACACTATAGAAGGCATGCGAAATGATATGTAAGTACTTGAATGTATTAGAGCATATGCTTTTATGGGGACACTAGGGACAGATAGATAGTGCAATACTATAAATGTGTCATAATGAAACCTACTATTATGTTAACCAAAAAAAAAAAAGGTTTAGGGACCAGAGAAATGGTTTAGTGGTTAAGAATGCATACTGCTCTTGCAGAGAACCTAAATTTGCTTCCTAACACCCACATTTGGAGACTTAAAACTGCTTGTAATTCCAGCTCCAAAGGATCCAATGTCCTCTTTTGGCCTCCACGGGTACCTGAACTCAGATTTGTAAACCTGTACACAGAGGCATATGTGCATAATAAAACTTTTAAATATAAAGAAAAAAGTTTAAAAATAGAAATAACTTCTGCTTTTTAAGGGAAATATCAAGCTTCTTTGTCTGTTTGTAGGGCTCTTAGCAGTGTCAGGGCTTCTGGTGCCAGAGCTAGCTTTTGGGAACCTATTCCCCGTGCTGAGTTACCTTGCCTATCCTTGATACAGGGGGAGGAGCTTAGTTCTGCCTCACTTGATGTGTCATGCTTTGATGATGCCCATGGGAGGCCTGCCCCTTTCTGAATGGAGACAGAGGAGGAGTGGATGGGAAGCAAGGAAGGGAACATAAGGAGGGGGGAGCAGACTGGTCAGTATGTAAAATAAAATGGAAATTTTTAATAAAAAAGGAAGAATACCAAGCATGTATTAAACAAGGTGACCTAGACTCAGATCATATTCTCTCAACAGGTCCTAGCTTTTCATGTTGATGTGTGTGGAGGGGTGTAGTTCATGACACTGGAAAGGGAACCACAAAGTGTTAAAGAAGGCAAGGAGGACAATAAAATGTGTGACATGAAAGGAGAAAGGCAGTGACAACCTGTGTAAAAGTACAAGTGAAGGGGGCAGAGGAAGAGAGAAGATGGGAGAGGAGGATCAATAAAAATGTGTCTTAAGACGGGCGTTGGTGGCGCACGCCTTTAATCCCAGCACTCGGGAGGCAGAGGCAGGCGGATCTCTGTGAGTTCGAGACCAGCCTGGACTACCAAGTGAGTTCCAAGAAAGCCTCCAAAGCCACAGAGAAACCCTGTCTCGAAAAAACCAAAAATAAAAACTAAAAAAAAAAAAAAATGTGTCTTAAAATGTCTTGATGAAACCTAACACTTTGTATACTAACTTAAATAAAGCAAAGACTATGCTGCTACTCAGTTGACTTTGTCACTGTGACCTTAGACTTTTATTCTGGAATATTATTCGCAAAGCTGGTGTTGATTAGGCTCCTAGCCACAAATAAGATTACAGTTTATTATCTTAACTTCGCATTTTGTGACTTCACATTTTGTTGTCATGAAGATCACCTAGAACAGCAGTTCTCAACCTGTGGGTTATGACCTCTTTGGAGGTGGAAAATCCTTTCACAGGGATCACCGAAGACAATTGGAAAATGCAGATATTTATTTACATTATGATTTATCATAGTAGCAAAATTAAAGTTAAGAAGTAGCAATAAAAATAATTTTATTGTTGGGGGTCACCATAGCAATAAGGGTTACAGCATTAGGAAAGTTGAGAACCACTGACCTAGAATTTTGGGGCATGCTAAATGGGCATTCTATCCTTGAGTTCCCAAGCCTTGATTTTTCCAGACAGAGTATTACTTCATAGCTCATGCTAGTCTGGAAGACAAAGTCCTCCAGGCTCCACCTGTCTGATGTCAGATTAAAGGTGTGTGTCACGTCACATAACATCAGCTTATAATTTTGACCTGTACCTCTCTCTTGTTTTCTATAGTGAAATCCTGATGGAGTTCCTGCTCAATGTCACCACAGCACCAGAATTTCGCCGTTGGGAAGTAGCTGCCCTTCAGTCTCAGCTAAAGATCGACAAAGCTGTTGCCTTTCAGAATTCACAGACTCGTGAGTACATTTGCCAATTCCATTTCATTATTTCCAAGATACTGGTTTTGAAAAGATTCATTTGTGAAAAATTCTATATGGACATAAAATCTCCCTAGATGTGCTCCATTATTTAAGAGTCTTAATTTGTTTTATTATTACTAGATATTTATATTGTTTTCCACATATGATGGTGAGCAAATTGATAGTAGAATCCTGTCCCTCATTGTGTTGTGGCTTTGTTTTGTTTTGTTTTGTTTTGTTTAGAACAAACTCAACAGCAGTTTATTTTACTGCGTCTACTATTGTTATTTACTGTTACATGCGTCAGTAAAAATTTTAAGAAAAAAACACTCCATAATTCTTAAAATAACTTTCGTATTGATATTTGTAATGTTTGATTAAATATGACTGGCAAAACAAATCTGTAATCAAACACTGCTGGCTTTTAGAAATTACACAGCTTCTGGTAGGAGCAAAAATGAGCAGGTAGACAAGAAGAAGGACCAGCTGTCGTGGCTCTGGGTGGCACTGGGAACCAAATGCAGGGCTGTCGAGAATAAACCTGTCTGCAACTTAGGGAAAAGTGTGTGTGGCTAATACTTCATGGTTATGCTTTTCTCACAGAGGAATGTGAACAAATGACAAAGTTATAGAAAAGGTGACTTACAGCTGTGTTGACGCATGCCTTTAATCCCAGCAATCGGGAGACAGAGGCAGGTAGATCTCTGAGTTGATAGCCAGCCTGGTTTACAGAGCGAGTTCCAGGACAGCCAGGAATACACAGAGACCCTGTCTCAAAAAAAAAAAAAAAAAAAAAAAAAAAAAGACTTATGTCCAGAGTGGCTGCTTCTCAACAGCAGGGTTTTAGCCCTCATCTTATTCTGACAAAATACGTCCTGTTACATATCCTGGTGTGGTGCTGCTCTCATCTCCACTTCTAGGATTACTAATTCAATCCAGCTTCTGGATTCCTTACCAGTTGGTGATCCTTCTGCTTTGAAAACAAAGTGAACATCCTTTAAAAACAACTTGTGAGTTAGAGTCCAAACTCTTACATAGCCTTTAAGCTTTCATCTGACTCCAACCCCCTTCCCTTAGTTTTTGTTGTGATTATTTGCGTATAAAAATTGTCCTTATTAGTGGGAACCATGTATGTTTTGATACTTGTCTATGAATGTTCAAATCAGGTTAAACATTTTTTCATTCCTTAACAGTGAAGACTTTGAAGAGCTTTTCCTCTTTCTAGCACTGACTCCTGTAGGCGTACTTTTCTTTGCCAGCCACCAAGTAACCACACAGAGGCTTAGATTACTTACAAATGCTTGGCCAATAGCTCAGGCTTGTTACTAACTAGCTCTTGCAACTTAAATTAACCCATTTCTATTCATCTACATTCTACAATGTGGCTTTTACCTGTATCCCGCTTGTGTGTCCAACTCATTCTGTGTCTAGCTGGTGACTCCTCTGACCACTCTTCTCCTTCCCAGCATTCTCAATTTGGCTCTCCCACCTAACCTTATTTTGTTTAGCTATTGGTCAGTCAATTTGTTTATTAAACCAATCATAGCAATATACATTCATACAATGTAAAGAAATATTCCAAATTTCCCCCTTTTTGTCTAATTAAAAAGATTTTACTTTTTAGCATAGTAAAATTATATACATCAAAAAACAGTTATCAAGTAAGAATTACAGTTACAATATCTAGTCCATTTGTATTAGGCAAAATTAAGAAGATATTCTACTATCTATCTTATCTTTGTGACTCTAAAGTTTTATACTTAATTTATCTTTTATCAAAATGACTATCTAGTCTTCAACTCCATCAAAGACTCTAGAAGGGTGAAATGTTACCTAATGATAGGGACATCTGACTGTCTGGACCATCACCCTAAGTTCCTTTGTAACGTTGGAACATCCATCTTTGGCCTACAGGTCTAATATCTGACAGACTTTTCTCTGAAGCAAGAAATTTTGAAGGACTGCCCTACCCTGTCTTGGCAAAAGATCAGCAGTCTCTTTTCTTTGTGTCCTGCTTGTACAGTTTGGACAGCATACTGTTAGCAGTCAAGGCAAGGGCAGTTTTTTGCCCAAATGGCTAGCTTTGCCATAAGGAAGGCAGACTCCATATGGAGTTTCTTCAATGCCCATTATCTTCTCTAAAGTAAATTGGTACTGCTAGGAGCAGACCTCTTTCACTGTCATGAAAACATTAGGTTACTAAACATATGTCTTGTTCTGTGGGTCTTTGAAGTATTTGAAGACCATCTGTCATCTAATATATCTGTGTAGGACCTTGAAAACATATCTAATATGACTATAAGTTTAACTATTATAGATGACTACTAATTTGTGTTAATTATACATTACATTTTTTAATGAGTTGCTTAAATACAATACCTCAAACGAGTAGAAATACACATACAATATAGCAAAATTAACTTTAAATCTGTATCAATATACTAAAATCCATACCAATGTGAAATATTTAAGACTAGTAGTTGGGTTTTTGTTTGTTTTAAAAGTACATTCAATGATTTGCCCTTTTATCCTATCATTCCTATATCCCTTGTTTTTTCTTTTCAAAATAAGATCCCTAAGATCTAATCTTTTTTTTTTTGACCATTATCAATAACAATTTGTAACCAACTTCCCTTATATGATAATATCCATAATCCTTCTTTGGGGAATGTGGGCACTGTTCTAGAATGCTTCCTGTTGTATGGGAGTCCTGGTAATCTTTAAACCCTGAGAAAATTTAGGTTAATGGTTAAGTCTTGGCTGGAGTATTCTGTGAGGCTGGATTGTCTTGATCAGCAGCCTTGTAATCCCATTTTTTACACGTCCTGCTTCCTCTGCGTCTGCTGGCATCACTCTGACTCTGCCCCCTCTTTATCCCAGTGTCCCAATCAACCCAGTTTGGTTGTCCCGCTTTACTCCCTGCCTGGCTACCAGCCAGTCATCATTTATTAAACCAATTTGAGTGACAGACTCCCCCATCCCCAAATTAGACTTTTCTTTGTCTGTTTCCTCTGCATCTTATGCGATTCACAAATTATTCACCTGGGAATTCATCAGTCATTCTGGAAGACTTACCAGATTTTCTACTATTGTTTCATGTGCCCAGCTGCACACTTCCTTGCTAACATTGTACTCATAACAATTTTATTTAATAAATTTCCCCCCTCGACATTTTGAGAGTGGCCATTATATCTGATGCATCTCTGTTTTTATCAGCTAGCATCTGGAGATGTGCCCAAATAATGAACAGATGTAGGAAATATAGTTCCAGAGAGGACACAAAAGCCAGAAGGCAGGGACAACAGTGCCAGGGCATCAATCAGTAAAGAGCAAGTGCAGGTCTGTGATAGCTTTTGACTCCACAATAGTTACTGCTTAACCTGAGCTTGCTGCTTTCATAGCTCCCTGTGTGCTGGTAACTTCCTCATTAACCACGGAGGGAACCTGGAAGTGAAGTGAGATTCAGATTCAGATTAAATGAGTTATACTTGTCTAACAGAGACAACTTCTTGAGGTCTCTTTTGTGTGTGTGTGTGTGTGTACTCCACAGGCTCCACTTTAAAAATTAATAGAGATTGTGTGGTAACAAATTTCTCAAGTCTCTGAAAATTTGAATCTCAAGTCTGTGTAGGCTTGTTGCTGACTTTTAAAAATACTGTAGTCATCCATATATTTGAGTGCCTGTTGCTTATCTGTTTTTCAGGTGTCATTGAAAACTTGCATCATGTTGCCTACAAGAATACCTTGGCTAATCCCTTGTATTGTCCTGACTATAGGGTGGGGAAAGTAACATCAGAGGAAGTAAGTGACGGGACTGCATCTTATGATTACCAACTTCTAGCCACCAGAGAAAGGAAGGGAGAGAGGAAGGAAATCCTGCTTTTTTTTTTCCCAATATACTTGTATTTTTGTGGGGGAGGGTATAAAATGAAAATCTAAAACAAGCAAAATGAAGGACAAGAGATTGTCTCACATGGGTCCACAGAGGTGGCTAAGTATGTAAAAGTTCTTTGTTCATAAACTTGAGACCCTGTGTTCAGATTCTAACATCCATATAAAAAGCCAAAAGTAGCCATGTGTACCTGTAACCCTAGTGTTGTGAAGTGGAGACAGGAGAATCACCAGGACTAGATGCTGACCCAGCTCCTGATTCAGTTAAAGACCCTGTTTCAAAGGAATAAGGTAGTGAATGACAGAGCAGGACCTCTGTTACCTTTCTCTGTTCTCTGTACATGTTCATATACTGCGCATGCATGCAAGCACGCATTCTGAAAGTGCTGAGAGAAGACAATTCTAACCAGAGGAAACACCATGAATAAAGACTCAGAGCCAAAAACAAAAACTATCTTAGATGCCTAAAGGCATTCAGTGTTAATACCTGATGTACTTTCTTCCATAAACCTTTTCTGCATATAAGTATACTTTTAAAATAATTTAATGGTTAAGTATCATAGTAAATTACTTTATGGTTATATTTAGTGCCTCTGATGACATGTATGAAATGAACTACTTTCTTACTTTCCAATCTTTAGCCTACCATTGTTTATTTACCTTTTCTAGTACATCAGCTTCCCTGGGCAAGCAGGCCAAATTCATCACAAATCACAGGCAAATATGCCTTAGAACTTTGTTTCTAAAGTAAGAACCATTGGCTGTTGGAGCTGGAGAGCCAGCTCAGAGGTTGAGAGCACTGGCTACTCTTCCAGAGGACTAAGGTTTAATTTTTAGCACCTACATGGTAGCTCATGACTATCTATCTATAACTCTAAGGGATCCAGTGCCCTTTCTGGCTTCTGTGGCATCAGGCATGTTTCTGGTGCATAGATATACATGCTAACATGCTATAAGAGTAGATAGATGGGGCCGGGCATTGGTGGACCACACCTTTAATCCCAGCACTTGGGAGGCAGAGGCAGGTGGATCTCTGTGAGTTCGAGGCCAGCCTGGTCTACAGAGTGAGTGCCAGGACAGGCTCCAAAACAATACAAACCCTGTCTCGAAAAACCAAAAAATAGAATAAAATAAAATAAACTCTATTTGTAGACAAATACTAGGATATTAAGTATGATAAACTCGAAGGTCCCAAATGGCATTAATGTTTTTGATTTTTTTTTTTTTTTAGGCTAAGGAAATTAGTGTAGTGTACTTTAGCGATTCAGTAAAAAAACATCCATAGAAAGATTATAGTTTGGACATCTAAGATGATTCCTTAGATGTTTACCATTCTTAGGTAAACTTGATACTTGATAAACTGATGCATGTTAAGCCAGTGTTTCTCATTGGTAACACTTCAGGCACTCTCTGAAACCCTTCAGGAGATACTGTGCCTCACAGTACAGTATACCTCTGCTTAGAAACTGGTGTACATTTGTGCTTCCTATAAAATGAGGGGTTTTCTTGATTCCAAAACAAATACTTTTGTTTTCACTCATTTTTTTATATTTCTTCCATTTTTGTGTCTGTGGTGTGATGTGTGTGTGTGTGCATATTTTGCATGTATGCGGGGGTATACATGTGGAGGTGCAAGGCTGAAGTCAGGAGTCATCCTCGATCATTCTCCCACCTTATATATTGAGGCAGGGTCTCTCAATCAGACATAGGCTCTGTGATTGCCTGTCTCTGCCTTCCATGGCTGGGAATTAGAGTCAGGCCACCGTGCCACCTGGCACTTCCATAGGTTCTGGGATGCAAACTTTGGTTTTAACACTTGTGTGTTAAGTGCTTTACACTTTTCCCAGCAATTCATTCTGTTTAAATTCAGAGGTTTTATTAGTTTTCATGAGAGTTGTAGACCCATAAGCACAATGAAGGTCCTGTTCTTCTAAATTATAGTTCTTAGTGATAAAGTCACAGTGCAGTGAGCAATAATACCTAGTCCTTGTAGTTCATTATGTCAACATTCAAACCTGGGAATTTGTTTCCTGCCATGCTGCACTTGTACCTTTTTAGCTTTTGTGTTTATATTAGTATGACCTAATAGCTCTTCTTTACTTCCTCAGTTACATTACTTTGTTCAGAACCACTTCACAAGTGCAAGAATGGCTTTGGTTGGACTTGGTAAGTCTGAGATTGCCTGCATATCAATTTGCTTCCTAAGAGCAACCCCTTAAAGTGTATGATATATTCAAGGGGTTGAACATTTTGAAAATTCTTAAGAAGACAGCATAGATAGAGTTTTAATTGCTAGTTGTTTGGGAAACAAATTCCAGTATTTTACTACTTCCTTTATAGTCTTGACAGTGTTTGCAAAATTTGTGACAAAGGCAAATTTATAAACTAAGAGCATCGCTAATAACTAAGAAATTTTAATCTGATATTGGCAAAGATCAAAAGGTTGGACTTTTCCAGTATTACCTAAGATTTGGAGAAATACATGCTGCCAAAAATTATTGCTGTGTTGAGATGGTAGCTCATGCCTTTAATCCCAGTACTCCAGAAGCAGATAGATCTGAGTTTGGGGTCAGCCTTGTCTACATAGTGCATTCCAGACCAACCAGAGCTACATAGTGAGAATTACTGGTGGGAGTATAAATTGACACCCTTTGAATTATCTATATTAAATTGCTCCTTATCAAGTATGTAGCTTGCAGATATCTTCTATTACATGGGTTGTCTTTTTACTCTTGATTGCCCTTTGATGTAAAATGCAATATTCTAACAGCTATTAGAAACATACTGATGTCAGTTAGGAAGATATTGGTTAAATAAATGATGCAGCCAAAGAGTGGAATATTTTATATTTTTGGTTGTGAGCCTAGCCTTTAACGGCTGAGCTATCCCTCCAGCCCAGGAGTGGAATATTTTATAGCCATTTCTAACCACTTAGATAACAAATTATGGAAGACAGGTTAGGAACATAAAAGAGAATAATACCACTTTTATAATGGAGTCTTAGAATGTAGCGAGTGAGTCCCAGGACAACCAGGGCTATAGAGAGAAGCCCTGTCTTGAAAAATAAAGAATAAAAGGGAAAGAAAATAAACATATACTAGTAACTATACAGAGAATATCTAGAAGAATAGTTAATAGCAAATTATAAATTGATACCAGGAAGAGTGATATTTCGGCAAGAAGATTTGGGTTTTCTTTGGTATTTATTTCCATATTATTTGTATACTTTTAGGTTTAAAACATGATTAACAGCTGAGCATATACCACCAGAATCACAGGTATAGAGGTCAGAGAATAACTTTGTAGAGTTGATTCTCTCCTACCCTCAGGTGGGCTCCAGGGTTCCATCCAACTCTGGTCTCCAGACTGATGCAGTACTTTTGCCTGCTGAGCTGTCTCGGAGCATATATTTGCATCTAATAATTATACATTTTAAAACAAGGAAAAACAGATGCTTTATAACTATAGAAATACTAACTCTATCTTTGTTTTTGCTTTCATTGAAACAGGTGTGAGTCATTCTGTCCTGAAACAGGTTGCTGAACAATTTCTCAACATGAGGGGTGGCCTTGGTTTAGCTGGTGCAAAAGCGAAATACCGTGGAGGTAAGTATTCTTTCTCCTAGGTTGAATAGCATATGCTAATGACACTTCTCTTCAAAATAGCATGTCGGGGCAGTATTGGCTTGATTGTTATTACCAAACCATATCAGTACAGAAGAAAAGAACTAACTGACTCAGGTATTACGTTAAACATGCTGTGATGGGAAAAGACCAGGTAAACCACAGACCCTAATCTTAGTTAATTATGTCATAGAGAATGATGATGAATAAAATCAATGTAATAAAGCTATTTTTCGTACTCCTCACTCCTTACATGATCCCAGGTGAAATTCGGGAGCAAAATGGAGACAACCTGGTCCATGCTGCTATTGTAGCAGAAAGTGCTGCCATTGGAAATACAGAAGCAAATGCATTTAGTATACTTCAGCATCTTCTTGGTGCTGGACCACATATCAAGAGGGGCAACAATACCACCAGCCTCCTGAGCCAGAGTGTTGCCAAAGGAAGTAATCAGCCTTTTGATGTAAGTCCAAACAGGCATTATTTCCTGTTTTAGCTTTCAGAAACATGTTGTTTGTGATATAATCTTGATTATCTACTAATAATAGTCTGATTTTAAAATTTAAAATGAACTAACATAAGCTTAATTGGGTGGCTCAAGCCTGGTATTCCAGCAGAGGGAAAGGGAGGGGTAAAGTGCTTACTTTGCAAACATGAAGACCCAAATTCAGTTCCCAGAAACCATGTAAGAAGGCTAAATGTGGTGGCATGTGGTTATTTATAATCCCAACATTGGGAGGTGGAGACAGGTGGGTCTCTGGGACTCCATGGCCAGTCTGCTTTGCCTACTTATATGTGTTTCAGACCAATAAGAGACCTAGTCTCAATAAACAAAATAGTCATTGTCTGTAATCATAGAACATGGAATGTCGAGACAGTGGTAGTAGCAGTTCAAGAAGGCCCATCTAGGGAACTTTATAGCACCCTGTTTCAAAGAAAGAGACAGACTGAGAGAAATGTACTTCAATTTTAGGACAAAACAGTGGTCAGTTTCTAGTACAGTGCTTCAGTAAGTCCTCAGTCGTTTGACAGCTCAGTGGAAATTATAATCTACATTCTTCTGAGGTTTGCCCCTCTACTTAACATTTGAACAATAGTTTTCAACCTTTATAGGCAGAGGAACTTTTTTTCTATCATTTCCTAGTTATAATGACTTCTAAAGAAATTTGGAAGACTAACTATGAAACCCTTTGAATCTCCTGTGTGAAGCCTCTGGGTTCCCTGACACACAGTTTGAAATCTTTTGTCTTAAATCTTTTGTCTCCTACAAGTTTCCTTTCCCTTGATTCATCATCCATTATTTTCTTGATGTGTCGGTTTTCACCAGTGTGTTTCTGATGCTCTTATGTTAGAGAATCAGAAATGAGCCAGAAGTTTGAAGTGTGTCTAGGATTGTCTTAGAATTATAATTAAACTTGGAGTAGGTTTCTTTTGTATGCTTTACATAGATTAAACCAATGATTTTCATACTTCATTGTACATAAGAAACATCTAGAACACAAGTTGAAATATGAGCTTTTCAGGCTGCATTCACAGGAACATGATTAATAAATGTTTCAAGAATCTGAAAATCTATATCTTTTAACAACTTAAGTGAGATATGTGTGTGTCTGTCTGTCTGCTGTCTATTTTAAATAGTCCACATGGATACTGTACAGTGTTGTTCTGGCACTTAAGATCGACTGTAAGAGCTTAAAACTTGACTCACTCCTCTCTGTTATTCATAGACTAAATTTCTTGCTACCTTAGATGTTTGTGGCCACTAGGCAACATTTATTTCTAGCCCTCTGCCTTTAGTTGATAGGAGAAGTGCAAGTAAATTGGTGAGACAGTTGGTATCAACAGCAAAATAAAGAAATCAAGTCTGTCACGTGCTATAGTCTGTCACTTGACAATACTGTTTGCTGTAACTATGTTAGTACTGCCCTTAGTCATGAAGAGAAGCTTGGAAAAGCCCAATAAAGAGGAAAACGAGCAGTTGTTTTAGGAAGGCTTAAATGACACCAAAGCTTTTTAAAGCTTTGCAGTTCTGAAAGGGACATTTTATACAGAACATTTTGACCCTCACCAAAATTAAGTAAGTTATTACATGTCTTGCTTATATTATAAAGGTGTAAATTTTATTCAAACCACACTGGGGAAATTTTCTACCAGGAAAAATATTATTCAGTAAAGTTCCATTATATTTCAGGTTTCCGCATTTAATGCCAGCTACTCAGATTCTGGGCTCTTTGGAATTTACACTATCTCCCAAGCTTCAGCTGCTGGTGATGTAAGTTCAAACACATTAACTCCCAAAGCTTTTCTCCGATTGCCTTGTTTTTAGTTAAATGTGAAATGTCTGAATACCATGGTTTGTTAAGGATCTCTATGGTATGATATTATTGAATAATCTGTTACTGGGAAAACTTTTTAAAAATGCATATTAATGCTTGCAGCAAGGGGGAGTACATACTTTGGTTCTGCTTAGACATGTTCTGACATCTGATTTTCAGAACCCAGGAGAGGTCAAGTATAGGCTGCGTATTTGTAGGTCTTCTTCATTGTAGAGATAGTGTTAGTAAGGCTAGGGGTGTAGCTCAATTAGTTTAGTAGAGTGATTTCTCATAACATATGAGGCCTGAGTTCAGCATCATCACAGGGTGTGGTGGCACATGCCTGTAATCCAGTACTCTTTATCCCTGTACTAGTCAGGTGAAGGCAGAAAGATCAAAAGTTCAATGTCAACTACATAGTGAGTTCTAGGCTAGCCCTGGGCTACAACCCCGAAGGAAAAGAAAACCAACTAAGGGGTTCTGGTATTGAGTGCAAAGGAATGAAAGGTTGATGGAGACAAGAGAAGATTAGGTCCATAAAAGAGGAGGCTGGAAGAGTTGTAAGGCCTCCGGGCGTTGGTGGTGCACACCTTTAATCCCAGCACTCGGGAGGCAGAGGCAGGCGGATCTCTGAGTTCGAGGCCAGCCTAGTCTACAAAGTCAGTTCCAGGACAGCCTCCAAAGCTACAGAGAAACCCTGTCTCAAAAAGCCAAAAAAAAAAAAAAAGAGTTGTAAGGCAATCTTAACACTGAGAGTTTTAAGTTGAAGGAAATAGTCATAAAGATAGACTTGAGCAGATACAAAAGTTAGAAAACAATAAATGCTTCAAACTTGGGAAAAGAGCAAGTATAAACTCAGGACATTTTAGTTCAGCAACAAAAGCTAGTGTTGAAAGGCAATACTAAGTCACATGTGGAGAGTAAAAGAAACTTGAAAGTATAAGACATGGGGAAGTGAATGGCTAAAAGCAGGGAATGGACCTGCAGCATGTGATGGTCTCCTTTACATGATGACCATGGATTCATAGTATAATCATCCAGGTTTGCTTTGCAAGTTTTCTTCATGGGCATTCACTCCCCTAGTAAATATGGATGGGAAATCAAAGTCTTAGAATTTTAGAATATAGGTGGTTACAGAGAATAATAAGCCAAGGGTCCAGAATGGTCAGGATTGAGGTAGAAAAAATCCTGGGTCAGATCCTAATTTATTTGTTCAGCAAATATGTACCATGTACCCATGTCAGTAAAACTTTGGATTCTTTCTCTTTTGAATACTGGACTCTGGTGTTCCAGGTGTGTACAAGCCCTCTAGGTTAATGTTTGCATGTGTACCTAGTAAATAGTAGTAACATGGAGTCTGTTGTACCTTGAGGAAGGGGCATCCTCTTGCCAGTTTCTGCACTATGCCACTTAAGGTTTGTAAGAAGCTTGGCTGTGTGGATACTATCAGTTGTGTATTTATATAGTATGTATGTGTATATAAGTGCAGCTTCATTTCTCATTGTTGTGACACAGTCAGCATCTAAAGGAAAAGGCTTTATTTTGACTCAGTTTCCGTTTGTCACAGAAAAGAGGGTGTGGTGGAGAAGCTCCCAGAGGCAGCCCCTCACATCTTCTGGATTAAGGTGCAGAAAACAGGACCAGGGGCAGTACGAGCTGTATCCCTCCAAGTTCAGCCCCAGTTGCTGCATCTGCTCACTAGACCATGTCCCAAATGCTCTTGTCACCTCTCAGAGTAGTACTACCAGCTAGGTTCAGGTTCAGACATAAAAGCATCGGGAGAACATTCCACACGAAACCCACAGATCTGTATAAACAGTGACTTTAAGGAACACATGGTGACCACATAATTCCCAGTGGATACTAGAATTTCCTGTTGCGTTTTTGCCTCAGTAAATGGGCGTTGATTACCTTGGGAGCCCCAGGCTCTGACCACTGATGACCAGTTTTCACTTGTGTACTCTAGGTTATTAAGGCTGCCTACAACCAAGTAAAAGCAGTTGCTCAAGGAAACCTTTCCAGTGCAGATGTCCAAGCTGCCAAGTAAGTTTCTATATTAATTATTTCATACTTAGGTACTTAAAAGATGATTTTAAAAAATACTATACACTCACAAGAATTGAGAAGTAAAGAATAGTATTAAAAGGAAAAGGCTTTAATTTAGTGGTGGGGACTTGCCTTGCATGTACAGGACATGGGTTCTATTCCTAGCACTGCAGAAATGGCCCTTGTTTCCCTTCTGATGGTTCCTTTTATATATATATTTTTTTATTGTATGTGTATGAATTTTTGCCTGCATGTATGTGTGTAACATGCATTCCTGATGCCCTCAGGTCATAAAAGGGTGTCAGATCCCCTGGCCAATGGTTGTGAACTACTATGTGGGTGCTGGGAACCAAACCCACATCCTCTGAAAAAGCAACAAATATTTTTAACCACTGAGACATCTCTCCAACCACTGTGTGTGGGATAGGGGGGCCTCACCCATGCCATTACACATGTGTGGCGGTCAGAGGACAACTTGGAGAAATTGTGCCCTCTTACTGTGTGAGTTCCAGGGACTGAGTTTGGGTCATTAGGTTTGGCAGCAAGCACCTTTTACCCAGATAGTTCATTTCCAGTATAGATAATTCAAATGCCTTGAATTGTAAGAAATAATTTCTTTATGAGTTTTTTATTAAAAAATGAAGGTTTTGCATCTATATTTAAGCTGTGGGGCATAGAAGACATCATATCGTACCATACTTTTCCACCCGCCTTCTCCATAATGCCCTTCCCTCATTGAGATAAATCCTGGTGGAGTGATGGGATGGGTGCTCGTGTGTGTGTGTGTGTGTGTGTGTGTGTGTGTGTGTGTGTGTGTGTGTGTGTGTGTGTAATTATCAGTCAAATGGATGGTGCATTAAGAGTCCACATATGTAGATATTTTTCCTTATTTCTAAGGCAAGCAGTTCTCTTTAGTTCAAAAGGCAACTGTTGAGATGGTGATGGGAATAAAACCCTTGCTGGACTAAAGAAACACAACAGACTTTTTAGCCTTTACATTTACTATCTTCCTGTTAAAAACTGATTCCTGCTTGTATTGGACAGGAACAAGCTGAAAGCTGGATACCTCATGTCTGTGGAGACTTCAGAGGGCTTCCTGAATGAGATTGGGTCACAGGCTCTAGTTGCTGACTCTTACATGTCACCACCTACTTTCCTTCAACAAATTGACTCTGTGACTGATGCTGATGTCATAAAGGTAAGCAGATGAAATCTGTTTAACCTTAATGGCCCGCTCTCAGAAGAACTGCATAAGCTTCCTTGGGGCCTGTGTGTTGGAGCACAGAGCAGGAAAGCTCTTTCCATCGTGTCCACAGACAGCCTCCCTAGAAACTTAGGTGTATATGTCTTCCTCAGTCAAGGAAATGTCCATTTTAAACTCTTGGAGGTCAGGAGGAGTCAGATAAGCAACCTCACAGGTTTCATGGATGTTTGCTGCTCCTTCACTCCCCAAGAAGCACCTTCCTGGTTCTTAACCATGAAGGGTCTCATGGCTTTCTACATTCTTTCAGCCAAAGACCCCCTCTTAAATATTATTGTCCCCTGCAAGATTGAGTTGTGGATGCATGCTTTTTGAGCCCAGCAATTGAGATGTAGAGGCAGGCAGATCTTTGAGTTTGAGGCCAGCCTGGTCTACAGAGTTACAGAGTGAGAAAAAACCCTACTCAAAAAAAAAAAAAGAAAAATCGAGTACTAACAAGGTTAACTCTAGTATACATCATCTACAGTAAAGACACCACTCCCTCATTGTGTGGTGACAATGGGATAGAAGAGACAGGCTATTTTTAGATACTAACCCTGCCTGCATTTCAATTGACCCCAGAATTTATCATAACAATCTAAAGTATACTTATGTGTATGGGCTGTGTGAATCCCTGCCCATGCACTTTCACCACCTCCCTGGCATCAGTCAAGCTGACCCAGGCAATGCTCTACCTCGTCCTGCCCTGTGCTGTATACTTAATGTAACCCGAATTTGAAATAATGACATGAAGAATACCAGGCGTGGTAACTGATGCCTGGAACCCCCCCAGCATTCTGGAGGCTAAAGCAAGAAAATAGTAAGTTGAACTACAAACTCTTAATACTATCACCAACAGCCCCTCTTCTAAAATAAAAGGAACACCACGTCATGAAATTTATTTTTATGTTACCAGTGAGGGTATTTTGGTCGACCCAGACTTTTTGCCAACATAATACAGAACACAGTGCAGCCTAGCAGCTGCTATCCTGTCTTGTTTTGATGGTCAGTGGGGGTTTTCCTATACCCCTTTCAAAATTGTCCTCATCTGGAAACCTTCTCCTGCTTGCTTAGTTGTGTGATGCTGTTCACATTCAGAATAAAACACCAACCATCTCACAGTTAATTGTCTTACGAGGCTGTATTATAGAATTGCTGGCTTAGAATGTCTTGTCCATAAACTCAAAATACACTGTTTACTACTTGATGGTAGCATTATTTAACTTTCTGTGTTTTGTTTAAGGCTGCAAAAACGTTTGTCTCTGGCAAGAAGTCAATGGCAGCAAGTGGAAACCTGGGACATACACCTTTTCTTGATGAGCTGTAACAAGTGCATTCAAGTGGAGCTGGCTAAGCTTTTTCTTGGCCCAGACCAGCAAATACATCAAGCCAGGTCTCTTAATTTAACATTCAATATTTTTCTCAATGAAGTACTTAAAGAACATAAATATGGATACTTATTTCCAGCTGCCCTAGAACAAATAAAGCATTGTGTGTAAGTGTTTTTCTTGCATTCTTTCTAGGCAGTTTACAGTTATTTATTACTATGCTGAGATCTTTGTTTTAAATGCTTTAAAGAAAACAGTAATACAGTAACTGAGTTTATCAATTACATTAAGAAATGTCAGAAACTTAAAATCAAGGCAAAGCAGCTCTAAAAGTAATTCCAGATTGTTATTGGTGGCTTTTTTAAATAAAAACAAGTTTAAAATTGCTTATTTGGGGATAACAGCAATTGAACAGTCTGGGTTTTGCCCCCTTTGTGTAGATGTGTAGATAAGAAACATCATTTATGTCTGCCTTCCCTTGTCTGTGGCAGTCTCTTGCTCACCTGTTTCAGTCCTGTCTCCTTTAAGTAACTCTCAGTCTGACATTCCAAGTAAAGGTATCACTGAAAGGGTGGGGGCAGGGTTGTAATGTAAACAACCAGCCCAAAAACACACAAAGAAAACTTTACCTTAAAAGACAAATGGTCAGCCATTCTGATGATTGGGCTCCTCTACCTGATGTAAAAGTCGAGTGAACAATGATGTTATCTGAGAACAGATCTGTGGAACCCTAAGACCACAGGAAGGAAGTTCTGAGCTATTAACTGAAAGTCTATGAAGGCCTTTTCGTACAATCTCAGAGCTGCTAAGTGCTGTAGGAATTTTACAAACCTATACATGGTAAGGCACAAAAAAATGGATATTTAAAAATAAAAATTTCTGTGGCCACAGATTTGCAAACCAATACCTAACCAAACTTTGATACCTTTTGACTTTCACCCTTCTCAGCCTGTGCATAGTCCTCCAACCAAAAGGCATCTGAGTTGGAGGAAGCGGCGGAGGAGGAGGAGGAGGTGGAGGAGATGGCATTTTCTCGCTCCACCATTGTCCAGTATGGAGAAGGGGCCCTCAGGTCTTTCTTGTCATCTTTGTGAATTACTACATCGCAGTTAACATCTTTGCCAACACTAATAGTATGGTCCTTCTTTTTATATCCATGCCATTCTGTGGAGATTGATACCGGAATCCTTACAGGGTGATTCCAAACTGACCGAGGATATCTGTAATACTTCAGTCTTTTATCTAAAACTACATCTTCATGGTCATCTCTGCTTACAAAAGGCTCATCTTTTGCTCTCTCCATTTTCTTTGGTGTGCTGAAATGAAGAGTGAATGTAATATATTCTTAATATCTTAACAGAGTTCCTAACAGAATCTTAACAACTACTTTGTCTCATAAATTAAAAAAATAAATAAAATATTTAGAGCTGGAGAGATGGTTCACTATAAGGCAACTCACAACTGCCTATAAATCTAGTTCTGGAGGACCCTATGCCATCTTCTCACCTCTGTGGACACTGCACTCAGCTTGCACGTGTGTGTGTGCACAAACACACACACACACACACGCTCAAAAATAAAGCCATTGGGTTTTGGTGGGGTTTTGTTTTGTGCGTGTGTGCATGTGTGTGTGTGTGCGTGTGTGTGTGTGTGTGTGTGTGTGTGTGTGTGTGTGTGTGTAAACCTACAAATACAAATTACCTTCATTACTTTCTGGATCATTGAGTGTTGATGAAATGGATTCTTGGTGCTTGAATACTTTCAGATTGATTTATGTGTATGAGTGTTTTGCCTGAATGTATATACTACTCTAAAACTTACCCCCATCCCACCCCATGGATTCAAACACTCAGATCTGCCTGCCTCTACCTCCTAGGTACTGGAAAGTTTCTCTTTAAAACTACCCTTTGAGCTGGAGAGATCAGGATCATCTCTTAATTTTTTTTCTCAACCATAAATATAAATCCTGCATTAAGTTACTTCACACTACTTGAAAACTTTAAGATTTAAGCCAGACCACTGACTAGACTATTATAAGGCCTTAAAGAATGAACTAATTTCATTGTACCTTGAGTAACACTTGGTTCTCATGGGTCTTACAGCAATACAGAAGATAACCCATTACGAGGGGAGTCAGGCGATGGTGAGCTTCAAGACACTTCAGCATGCTAGCCATTAGTAATTCTAAGGTTTTCTTCTTTTTCCCCTAGACAATACTACACAGATAAGGGTTTCTTTTTTTTTTTTTTTTTTTTGTTTTGTTTTGTTTTGTTTTTCGAGACAGAGTTTCTCAGTATTGTTTTGGAGGCTGTCCTGGAACTCACTCTGTAGACCAGGCTGGCCTCAAACTCACAGAGATCCACCTGCCTCTGCCTCCCGAGTACTGGGATTAAAGGCGTGTGCCACCAACGCCCAGCTCAGATAAGGGTTTCTACAGCACTCTTACCCACATCTGCTGTCATCATGTTGTCACCAAGTTTTCAAGGCTTTCCTTTCAAAACTTGTCCCTGTTCATGGCTTGATGGTTGAAATATGGATGATGCTTGGACTCTGCTGGTCACCTTATTGTTACATCCCAGAACAAATACTGGCCCCAGGCCATACTCGTCCTGGTGCTCCTGCCCCACAGACCCAAAACAGTCCCTCTGCTTATAGCTCTGTTTCCAAGAATTTAAACAACTTTTCCTAAAGCTTATCTCTTCTATTAATATGGTATTGAGTCGAGTTTTATTACACCCAGCTAGTCTTAAAGGGTGGTCACATAAGTGGGGAAAGAAAAAATACAACTGACTTTGAGTTCAAGGATAAATTTGAAGGGGTTGGCATCTAAATGGAGATAGTGGGTGATTTACGATGGGTGGAGATAATATGCTTTATAAGTGCTTAGTGTATGGAGAGTAACAGAAACTACAGGCACTGAGACAGCCCTAGGAAACAGAAGAGCCAAAGGCTAAGCTTTAGGAAGAACCCAGATGGGAGAGTAATCTCACAGACAGGGGAAGCTATGTCAAGGGCAGGAATAAGAGGATTGGGGAGTTGTAAAGAGTGATGCTGCTTAAAAGGCAAGCAAAATACAGACAAGTCTATTGGAATCACCATGTGAAGGTGGCAGATTATCTGAAAGTAGGCCTTGGCTGAGAAGAGAGGAAAGCAGTGCCTATACTGGAGTGCCTGAGATGTGTATCTCCTGAGCAAATGGAGAGCTCTGTTGACTTTTTCATTAAATTAGAACAGCAGGCAGAATAGTGGAGTTAGTTTACTAAAAAGATGGTGCTGGTTGGGTTTCGTCAGCTTGACACAAACATAGACCTACCTGGAAAGAGGGACTCTTAATTGAGAAAAACATCTCCATTGCCTTGGTATGAGAGGGCCTAACCCATTGTGGGTGGTGCCACCCCTGGGCAGATGTTCTAGATGGTATAAGAAAAAGAAAAAAAAAACTGCGAAAGCCAGTAAGCAGCATTCCTCCACATCCTCTTCAGTTCCTGCCCTGACTTCCTTTGAATGATGGACTGTGGTATAGAAGGATAAGCAAAATCCTCTGCTCTACAAATTGCTTTTGGGCATGGTATTTTGTCATAGCAATAGATACTCTAACTAAGACAGGTATAAATGTTATTGCAAAAGATCAGAGAGAAGAGGAAGTGGGATTCTCAGCACTGTGTGTGCAAGCCCCTATGGAGGGGAGATGACAGCTCCACCTATTTGAAAATGTGTCTCTCACTGAACTGGCAGCTCACCAGTTGCGCTAGACTGCCTGGCTGACCAACAAGCTCTGGGGGTCCTCTTCTGTCCTCCCTGCCACCTCTGGAGTTAGACATATTCCACCACATTCAGCTTTTCCATGGTGCCAGGGATCCAAGCACAAGTCCTTCTGCTCTCACAGGAAGCACTTCATCTACAAAGCCATTTCACAGTCCCGTCTCAACCTGTGTCTTAGGGCTGACTAGATAGGCTGCATTGGCACAGTGCAGGTAGATTTGGGGACAGAGTACCCAATTAATGACTGCTGACTGACTGCCTAACTCCCAAGTTGCCTTTATAACTAATCCCACATAATATGAAGTCCTGCAGAATGTCTTTTGCAGAATGTAGCTCACTAAGCGCTGGCAGTGTCACCCACCCTCCTCACAGTTCTTGCCATTTGATGATTTGCACATTAAACCAGAACCCAGCACCTCACGGGCCTGGGTTTCATAACATTGTCTTAAAGTGGGCTACTTACTGTGAAACTGGAAATTTGGTCTCAGGGATTAAATCATACACATCTTGCCATTCCTTGGGTATGTCAATGAAGTCTCGGTAAACTTTGATTTGTATCACTGTTCCTATGGTGATATTTTGCAAAAGCTTTAAAAATTCACGGAGGGTATATCCTAACACGTTAGCATGCCCAACACTAATCAGAACATCACCTGAAAAAGAAAAAACAGTTAAATGAAAGTAATGGGTTAAAAGGAACCATGCTGATCAGTGGCTTTATTGAAATATTTTATGGATTTATATGTTGTTTCATTCTGACCAAAGCCTAGCTTCCACCTTGACTTACTAAGAACATTCACCTGCCTGAGTGTTCTCAGTATGATAAAGATGCCTACCTTAATTTTTTAATAGCTACTTAATAGTTTTTTTTGAGCCATTTCTGAAGTTCTTAACTGGTAAGTTTTGTTGTTGTTGTTGTTGTTGTTTGTTTGTTTTATGTTTTTTGGTTTTTTGAGAAAAGGTTTCTCTGTATTGTTTTGGAGGCTGTCCTGGAACTCTGTAGACCAGGCATGCGCCACCAACGCCCAGCCAACTGGTAAGTTCTTAACCTCTGGTAAAGAGGCTAAAACCATTTAAAACCCAAACCTTTATATTTAAGATTCTAAAGGTGAAAATTGAGTGGCTATAACTAGTAAAAGAGAAGCCACATTCCAATCTGCCTGCCTGGGATCATCAAGCCCTCCACAGCAAATAAACCCGTCCTAATTAAATCAACCATATAACTATGATACATTAGATGATTAGCTGCTATTAATTACACTTAATGTACATGCAGAAAGTGTTGATTGCAAGGAATCTAAACTTGTGCCCCTCCTACCTCTACCTCTTCAGCATATCCCACTACAGCGCACCACTATGACCTGCACAATTGGTTCAAAACACTGAGAGCAGGACCCCCTCGTTTAAAACACTGCTGTATGAGGAATTGTGATGGTCAACCATTGAGCTTCTGAGCACCCAGCCGGTGAAAAGATACATTAACAATAAAAACCTAGGTCCCCAAAATGACAGCTAAAAGGGTCAGTCATTCACTTATATAGACCTAGTCCACCCTACCCCTGGCTCCCACCAGTTACAGTGAAGATCTGTAAACTCAACCCAGTCACCTGGCATTCCTATCTGGCTCACTGAACCTGCATTGGGATGGCAGGGGCATCCAGATGTCTGGATCCTTTGGTCTCTCCCTGTCTTTCAAGCCTGGTTCTCCAGATTTTCAGGCAGTTCAGTCAGATACTGCCCTAAATTAAGTGCCTTAACAATACTGTTTGCTGTTGCTTGAAATAAGGAGCATGAAAACTAACATTCAGCCAAGCCCCTTAGGAGGAATATAGAAGGTCTGCACTTACTTAAAGGACAGATTCACTCTGTGGAAAGTCTTAGTTGTCTGTACTTCTCAGCGGGAATCAGTTGAAGTGTTAACATGGCAAAGCCTTGTCAAGGACCCCAATACCCATGGAAGTAGCACAGCCTTCCCTGGGGGAGCCTCAGAAGCATGACAAAGACTTCTTTTGGCCCAAGTAGCAATGTTTTTGACCAGTGTACAAAAACCAGCAACTGCAGCTTCCTCTTGGATGACTGCAACCTGACTTCCTCATTTACAGAGACTGCCTACTGAAACTAGCTAACTCCTCCTTGTGTTACCCTCCATCAGAGTGAGCACAGCCCACCCAATCCCAGCTTCTCTGTGTGTCTGTGCTTCCCTCAGTGCTGAAGTTTCTTCATTCCTGTATTGCCTGTCAGGACTTTATAACTAATACAGGATGACAGGTTACCTGTCTGCATGTGAAGCTAGCAGCCCCCAATAACCCTCATTCAAGACAGGTGAAGCCCAAGTTGAGAGAGAGGGATTGGGAAGAGGCTGGTGCTGGTTCCCACTGCAGGCTACTCAGGAGTTACACTGGTCCTGAAGGAGTGTCCAAGCACTGCCAAGGACATGTTTCCCTAGTGTGAGATCCCAAAAGTTTCCACTGTTCTAGAAAGTCTGAGGAATCCTTCTGCATGGGTTTTGAGAGGTAGATGGGGATAAAACCAGCCTCATACTGAGCTGGACACAGTGTTCAGAAGGCTGAGGCAGAAGGGGGAGGCAGCATAGGCCTTCAACCCCAGCACTTGGAGGGAGAGGCAGGCAGATTTCTAAGATCTGAGGCCAGCCTGGTCTACAAAATGAGTTACAGGACAGCCAGGGATACACAAGGAAACCCTGTCTCAAAAAACAACAAGGCTGAGGCAAGAAGATGGGCAGACAGTTCAAGGCCCGCCTGAGCTACATAGTAAGACTTGGTCTCCAAGAGCAAGGTAAACAAAAACAAAAGCATGTACTGAAAGTAACTTCAGAATGACACAAGATTTCTCTCAAGAGCTACCTGCAGGCTGTGCAGTATGAAACAGCTGCTCTCCCTGCTGAGGTTAATTACAGTAAGAAAGTCATCCTTTTAGGATGAGCTCACATGTCTGGTGTTAAAGGGGGTGTTTATAGCTGAAAACTATGGCTTGGCATTCTGCTTAATTATGTTGTAAGAAGGTGACTTTTATCAAGAGAACATAAACAGCTCAATTCCCTGACCGTTCTGGCTTTAAACCAAATGTGGCAGGGTATGAATGTGATTGCTCTGACCGGAGACACCAGCACTGCCTTTCGTGGACACCAGTTGGGTGTTTATGAACACTAAGCTCATCATGCATCCTTTTTTCTGCTTTAATAGGCTGTAGGAATGACACTGCATGAGTCTGTTTAGATTGCCTGTATTAAATCAACCGTGCAGTAGCCACACCACTACTGAAAGATAGGTTTTCTTCGTCTCTGTTCTTTCCAACAAGGATGTAAGTTGTACACATTTAGTGTGGTTAGGGTTACATTTGCTAAGCTCTCCACTGTTAGTACCCATAGGACCTGGACATGGAAAGGAATTAAGGAAATGCAAAATGAATGAATGAATGAATGAATGAATGAATGAATGAGCGAGCCTGGGTATGGCTAACTGAATGAATGAAGCCAGCACATGGCTACTGTCCATTGTCAAAGCTGTAGCAGTATTTTAAAGTCGTAGTAATATCTTAAGGCTTTGTACATCAGACAGACATAGAAAATAAACACTAAATTACCAGATCAAGATAAAATACCAAAGACAAGGAACTTCAGAACACATGAATGAGAAATAACAGGGCTGGCAGGTGTCAAAGAATTAGCAAGTCCCATGATCGATGCCAAATTTATGGAAAAGCAGACTTTGAAACCTAGACACTGAATAGTAAACTGGTTTCCATTAAGAAATTTGGTGCCCAGAGTGTTTGCATTGAAATCTCACTTCTTTCCAGGAGAGCCAGACTAGCTACACAGAGAAACCCTATTTCAAAAAAAAAAAAAAAACTCACTTCTGCTCATGAGGCCATTGGTAACATGGTATGGGTTTTGTAGCAGGTCATGTTTTCAAATCTGACCTTTGACCACAATCCTAGGTATATATCAACCTGTGACTTCTATATACTCCTCACACATACATACGCAGAAAAGCTAATGTCTAAAAGACAACTAGCCATAGAAAAGCCATAAGAATGTGAACTTGGCAGTATTTCTACAGTACTTGTTTTCAAAACTCTTCACATTTTTACCACATCCGCCGGGCGTTGGTGGCACACGCCTTTAATCCCAGCACTTGGGAGGCAGAGGCAGGGGATCTCTGTGAGTTCGAGACCAAACCTGGTCTACCAAGCCAGTTTCAGGACAGCCTCCAAAACAATACAGAGAAACCCTATCTCGAAAAAAAACAAATATTTATATATACTTACCACATCCTAAAAACCTAGAGCAGAGATGAGATTCTCCCAATTTAGATATGAAGTCACTGAAGCTTCAAAGATTGACTTTGCCAAGGTCACAAAATGAGAAAATGACACATCTCAGATCTCTGAACAAATGGCCTGAAGTGGTTTTCCCTCTCGTGATTTCATTCCACTGTGCCCCCCCCACTTCTAGGAATAGCATAAGGGCCCTAGACAGAGACTGGGAAAACATGTCTTGCATTAGATAGAAAATGCATTCCCTCAGAGTCCTGAGAAGTTAGGTGATCTTGATGAAACCTTTGGGCTTGGAATCTGAGAGGAAGGGTTTAAATTCCAACTCGTAGGTATAACTGGGCAGGTTCCTAAGTATGTACATATTTGCATAGTGGTTTAGTGTAGAATATACCCTGGGGCTGTTGAGAGGGTGAAATAAGATCAAGTGTCTCCACATTAGTTATGATTAACACCTCCACAGTTGTGAACTGTGTAGTGATGTTGGGTCTGTGTTTGTCTCCCACTCACTGGATGAAAGTGAACCAGGCAAGGAAGGCTCTACCACTAAACTCCAGTCTCCTCACCTGCAAAAGGAAGATAGTGAGGGTGCCTTCCTAGGATGTTACTAGAGACCAAATGAACAGCGAGTAGCTGATGAGTGGTAGCAACTGGCTGCCCAGAGGAAACTCTCAGACAATGTCATACCCTCATGCCAACTCCCTGAAGGTAGGTGGGAAGGAGGCACGTGGGAACCACAGTCACCTGGCTGGAGTGTCCCGTCACTGGCTGCAGCCCCTTTATTGATGAGGTGAGTAATCTGCAGGTAAGGCCCATTCTGGATGATGATCAGGCCCAATCCCAGGCTGCCCACGGTGAGTTTGGTCTGCTTCATTTTGTTCAAGCTGCGGGCAGTTCCCTTGACTTTGAGGTTGTGTTCTTTTTCTAACAGAACAAGAGGAACTTGTTTCAGTAGTTTATCAAGACAACAGCATGGTAATGGTGCTGTGGAGCTCTGAAACTAGACTTTGGGGGCACTTACGTAGTCATCCTATTCTTCGGGTTCCCCTTAGGGAAAATGAGTGTTGTAAAGCATCTGTGAATTAAACAGGACAGTTAAAGGGCTACTGTACAGTGCTAGTGCATTATGGATGCTTAACGCCAGTTATTATCATCCATTCACTTGACAAGTGTTTGTTGATGTAAGCAGTGCACTCAGGCCCTGGTTTACTATAGTGAACTAGATGGACTCATTGCCCTTGTGGATCTTACAGCCAGTAGAGGACACAACTGTCAGTTACGTAAACAAACTGGATGCTAAAAAGGAAGAAAAGGCAGGGAGCTCTGAGGGTAAACATCAGAGGACCTAAGTTTCACAAAGGGAGAGGGACCAGGTTTCCCCAACGCAGTAAATGTGGGTCAAGGTGAGAAAATCAACAAGCTAGGTGGCAGGGAGCAAACAATCAAGGTTTTAGACAGGAAGGAACCAGCCTTGATGGGGACCCAAAGGAGCAGCACAGGCAGGCGGTGAGAGGTGCCCTGCCTGGCAGATGGGCTGCTACCCAGATTTGCCCTAAGGAAATCTCACAAGTAATGTACACTGGACAAGATCAGGTTGTCGTTGTTTTAAATAAAATCACCGTGCTGGCTGCTGTGTGATATGTGGAGCCCAGAATGCAGATTAGAAACGAAAGGCTGACTGCAGTCACTCGAGCATGCCACCTGCCCGGCAATAGAAATGGACAGTGGTAGATGCACACAGCATCTGGGAGGAAATACACCATTTCACCCACAATTCCTTCTGTAAGGGCCAGTGATGCCCCAAATTCACCAGGCCTTGGCTGAGTCTGTGTGATTGTGGTGTGTCCAGGATCGCTGCTGGGATGGGCTTCCCCAGCTTCCCATAGCCAGCTGTAGGGACTCCTGAGGCTCATGGTTGTCCTCAGAGAAAATGTCCTTGCTGGACACCTCCAGCAACTTCAGTTGGAAAACTGAAGCTTACAAGGTAAATGTGCTAATAAAGTAATATGTTTTGAAAGATAGCAGTGGGGTGGAAAAGATGGCTCTGCAGGAAAATGTGCTTGCAGCCAAGCCTGACAACCTGAATTTAATCTCCAGGACCCACATGGAGGAGAGAACTGACTCCCCACAAACCCCCACTCTTTGTTTTTCTGTCTCCCTCCCTCCCTCCCTACTTCCCCTCACCTCACACACACACACACACACACACACACACACACACAGATATAATTTAAAAACTTTAAAGACAGCAGAGTGAAAGGAACCACTAAAAAAATCTCTATACATGATTCCACATTTAGCCATTCTCCATGGAAAAGCAAAATTTGAGAAAACATTGAAAGTACAAGAAATCGGGGTATAGTAAGGGCAGTTGCAAGGTAATTTAGGGAGGTGAACACATTCCCTCACTTGATTGTGGTAGTGGTTAAGAGTGTTATATATTTGTTGAAACTCACAGAGCTGTCCACGGAAAAACAACCATCTATCTTGATGAGAAAACAGTGGTGAGAGAGTCCCATGTGTGACCACCATTTTACAAAAGAGGCAAATTTAGGGAGGCTTGGAACCCCAGGCATCACCCTTTTCCTATTACTCCATATACCATTTTTGCTTTTGAGGTGGCCCTTCTCCATTGCTTAGGGCGGGGCTCTCTTGATCCTCCCAGGAGCTGAGGCTGGAATCTGTCCAACTTCCAACAGTTTGGAATCCTGGAGGCAGAAGATCAGGACCACAAGCCACGGGGAAACATTGGCGCCGCCCGGCCCTCTGTATGGCCGCCAGGGGGCGCTGCAAGACTGCGTCCCAGATTTTGAGCAGCCAGATCGTAGACAGACTTCAGTAGACCCTGGAAAACGTCCTGGCACGGGTGGAAACTACTCCAATGCAGAGTGTAAAAATTTATATGGGGAAAAAAGGAAAATTCTTCAGGAACGAGAATTCCTGCTTTAACAAGGTTCTTCATTCATTGGTGGGGAAACACTGGGGTCAGGGCAAGAGCATAGAGGGGAGAGGACCTCCAAATGTGAGCATTAACATTGCTGGGAACCCTAGAAGATCCCAGAATGCCGTTTAATGGTGGTATTAAAATATTGTTATATCAACAACGCTAACTGCCTTGCCATTGCACTTTATTCATGTGTGTTTTAGACGAGAAAGGGCCAAGAATGGCCAGAAAACAATGAGTCACTATTAGAAGATGGATTATTGACTCTGGTTTTCCCAAAATAATCCTTCCTCCCCCACACATACACTCATACAACAAAAATTCACTGAAATCCAGTCTGTGACTTCTGGGGCTGCTGAGGACATGAGAGTATATGAGGCAAACATGGACTTTACCCTCTTGGAACACACACACACACACACACACACACACACACACACACACACTTTCCCCCTAAGACAGGGTTTCTTTGTGTAGCCCTGGCTGTACAGGAACTCACTATGTAGTCCAGGCTGGGTTCAAACTTACAAAGATCCACCTGCCTCCAAGTGTTGGGATTAAAGACATGAGCCACCACTGCAGGGCCAGAACTTGTATTTTCAACACAGATGAAAGGGAGAATTTTAGGGAACTATGAATTATGGAAAATAAATTATAGAAGAAAGAGAATAAAGTATAATGAAGTGGGTCACCACTCTGATGAGAGAAGAAGTAACCCCCTTGCCTCAGGGCATCCAGCCCTTTAACAAGTAATGAGCAGCACCTATTGGAAATCAGGCTATGTCCAGAATTTTAGGGTGAACCTGAGCAGGTCTTAACTTAGTCTTCTGTTTCCCTAGCTCTGGCCAAACAACAAAGTAGGACAGATTTTCATTGGCTAGATCCCATCTTCTAGAGTTTTGTGCAAAGGGTGCTCCTGCTGCATTTCTTATGATAGGCACCTCTCCCAGTATGGCTGGAATCAGCTCAGGTGCCCAGCGTACTTAATCATGAAGTGCACGCTTTACTTCCATCTTCCTGCCAGTAGGAGAATGATGAGGAAACAAGAGCTAATGGGCATCAGCATTCTTCCCTTCTTGAGTGGAAAAAATCTCTTTGGAGTAGACACCAAGGTCATACTGACTAGGAGGAATGTGTGATAGGAACTCTCAAGGACACTGTGCTGTCTAGACTTCCTTTCACAGCTAAATAACTTTTACCTCCAACTCTCCCCTCCATCTCCTGTTGCTGCCTTTGAGAGTGCTTTGTCCATGGTGCCATGTCCCTAGAGCAGTTAACAGTGAGCATCCAATGCAGGGTCCTTCCAGAGCTCCCAGCAAGCCTACCTCTGGCCCTGCTCTGACCACCCTATAACCTGGCTCTGTCCAGTCCTGTTTATTTTCCTCCACCCAGAGATATGGAGCCCACACGCATTCTCTAATAACTCCTTGTAACTCAACCTCCTTTCTAGAGAAGCTACCCCGCAGCATCTAGTGCAAAGATAACCTGATGCATACTTGCAAAGATTCAGGAGCTGGACCACCTAATAGAATGAGGACCAACCATTAGGAGGAGAACTTGGGTGTCTCTAGCACAGGAAAGAATGCAAAATGTTTCCTTATAAATGGGATGGTGTAACAGAGGAAGAAAATATACTGACATGAATCATGAACACATTATAAGACATCCCTCCGGCCAGGAGCTGTCAACAATAGCAATCCCTAGAAAAGCAGCAGACTGCTGCTACTGACAGGGACGGGGACAATGTTTGGCACTCAACTAATCCACATGGTTGTCACAGGACTGCCCTGTTCCGTTTCTTACAGTAAATGGGTGAATGTAACAACTGCATCTTAAAAGTGTATAGCAACATTTGAGGGGAAATGAGAGCCTAAGTCACCCTAACCAGGTTCTGACAAGAGATAAGAGGAATTGTGGGTGAGTAACAGAGGGAAAGGATGGGAGGATTGGTTTTGCCTCAAGATAGCAGTGCCCTCCTCTGGTAAAACGGCCATCCCAGTCCGGCAGGAGCTGCTCTCAGACCCTAAAAGTAGCAAATCAAAATTGGGAACTAGATCATAAAAAGAAATGATAACTTCTTTTTTCTTTTTCCAGACAGTCTCTGTAGGTAACCCATGGTTGGTCTTAGAACTCACAGTTCTCCTACCTCGGCCTGTCATAGACAAGAATTGCAGGCATGTGCCCCCACATTCAGCCTTGTATATACTTTGCCAAAATTTTCTTAGTTTGGTATATTAGTACACATCCTTAACCCTAGCACTCAGGAGGCAGAAGCAAGTGGATCTCTGTGAGTTTGAAGCCAGTCTGATCTACAAAGTCAAATTTGAGGTGTGAATTTATATGAGCTTGGGCTAATAAGATCCTGTCAGAAGGCAGGCAGTGGTGGCACTTGCCTTTAGTCCCAACACTCAAGAGACAGAGGAAGACCAATCTCTGAGTTCAAGGACAGCCTATGTGAATCCAGGACAGCTTGGTCTATATACAGAAATCCTGTCTCAAAAATCAGAAAACAAAAACACTTTATGATTACAGACTTAGAGACTATATTTCAAAATGCACCTTTGGAGCAAATTCTGGCCTGCGCAGTACAGGTGCCCCATCATGGTGGAGAGACTGATCCCGGCTGTGGGACTGATCTCAGCTACAGTGGTTGTGTATGTTTACATGCATGTGCATGTGCAAGACAGAGGTCAATGCCAGTCTCTACCTTTTCTTTAACAAACAAGCAAAAAACCAAAAAGCAAATAGGGTTTTTCACTGAACCTAGAGCTCACCAATTTGGCTAGACTATCTGGTCAGCAAGCCCCAGGGATCCTCCTGTCTCCATTTTCCCCAGCAGGGGATGGCACATGCAGTGCCTGGGCTCAAATGGGTTCTAAGCGAGTACTCGTGCTTGCAGCCAGTACCTTACTGGCTGAGCCATCTGCCCAGCCTTCTGGTGGTCCTCTTGAGGAGCTGTCCTTGGCTGAACGGGCTGCCTTCCCCAAGGTTACAGCCAGTCCCTGGGGTAGTACCTCATTCCTGGTCAGTACTAGAAGACCTCATCCCTTTGTCTTAACAGAACTAAACACCCACCTTTGCCTGAGACCTCTCTTTCAGTTTGCGAAAGCCTCCTATGCCTGCAGATGACTTCTACCCAATTCTACTCCCCCCCAATTGGTCCTAAAAGAGCGCCTAGTGAACTTCCTACATACCAACGATCAATAACTTTTCATCTTGAAGACAGTTCCAAAAGAATCCACCTCCGAGACAAACCACCATTTGAGCCCTGGGTATAAGATCCTCCCCTCTGGATCTGACTTTTGTCTTCTCTAACCCTAAGAATCCCAGGTACACATATGCAACATGTCTACCACATTCTTGGCCCATGTAGTTAACCTGACCCCCAGAGAAAAAGTGTGTTCATTATCCTGCAAGGGCAAAGACACTCCTTCAAGTGCAGAGTAATGGCACAGCATCTTCTAGTTTTCCCTGAAGTCCCATCTGGATCCAGCCTCTTCTGAGAGGAGTCCTGTCATCCATCACGATAAAGCACACCATATTCACAGACCTTTAACAGCCACAGTATGGCTGTTTATGTCTTCAGGCTGCCAGCCATAGATCCCTCCTGGGGGCCCTTTATGATCTTCTGGGTCCCCAAGGACTTTCTGCCATAAGGAACTTGGTGGCTCCTCTCTTTATAGAAAGATCCCAGCTGTTTTATTCAGGTGAGTTATGGGATACTTCTATCACGAAGAGAGTCTGTTGAGAGAGATAGGAGAAAAAAGGCCCAAAGCAAGCACATGGGTTTCTCAAGTTCAAGTCAGCAGCGGAGCTGGGATTAGACCATGATTATTTCTGCACCCTTCTTGCTCTATCTCATTCTTCCTCTCAAGGCCCACAATTGGGCATCTACTAAAATCCAGGTAAAGCTGTAGGGAAGGGAATGGCTTTGTCCTCTATACCTCAGAGACACGGAACTCTGAGTCATCAGTGTTATTGGAAAAACAAGAATATAGTGTGGGACTAAAATGGGAAATAGGGGAACTGTGTGAACGGTCTGTGTATTTGGCTTCTTATAACTATGCCCCCATCCTAGTTGTCAGGAAAAGATCAGGTAAGTCACAGTTATCTACAATGTATGCAACCACTATCCTGATGGGAAAAAAGGATGTTTTAATCTCAGTCTCTCTCTCTCTCTCTCTCTCTCTCTCTCTCTCCCTCTCTCTCTCTCTCTCTCTCTCTCTCTCTCTCTCTCTCTCACACACACACACACACACACACACACACACACACTTTAATCTGAGGTCTAGAATCTTGGATGGAATGCAGATCATCCATCTGGAAAATACTGTTAGGGTAAAAGGAAGAGTTTATACTTGTATTTTTTTAAACACCAGAATTAAGGCAGCCTCATTCCACTGAGCTGGAGTTATAACAGCTGCAAACTGTTCCAACACTTCATCTTGGCCAGTTACGAATAGCAGTGGATATTGGTCAGGAATTCCCTCCTGCACCATTATAGCGTCTTTTACTCTGGGCAATCAACACAACTGATAAAAAGCCAAACCTAGGACTCCTTCAAACTTCTCCAGTGCTCAAAAGAGAAAAAGTGAAGAGCTACAGCAGTAAACAGACATGCAATCTATCTGGTCCCCACCTCGTACCAATATCGATGGCGGAGGAAAAAATAGATTGTGTAATTAAAAGAATACTTGCCCCCAAGAGACCAATGTTTGGGCTGAGAAGTCTTATACCAGCAATCAAATCCTTTCTCCTTAATCTGCATGGTGCACTAATATCGCTGCTCATTTCTGCAAGGATGCTGGGTTTGGTGGAATTTGAAACCTGCTGAGTTTTGTGGACATGCAGGCATTCCAAAAATAGGAACAGATGTCACTCTTCTAGGTCTTTCTAGAGATAGATTAGGTGGTACATAGGAGAAAAATCATCTCCATTTGTTCTTTGGGCTGCTGAGAAAGAGATGAATCTGAAGTCAGGGTTATTGAGCCATGGTGGAAACCTCCAGGGGATAGCAAAATCATAGACAAATCCTTTGTTATTGTAACAGTTTATATTATTGTTTCCTGTTTATGCACCCAATGTAAAGCTCTCTTCATACCTCACTCTGTAAATAGCATCACTAAACAACTGGGTGTCGAAAACTAACAAGCACTTCAGGTTCTTCGTCTCCTTCCGTTATCAGCAAGTCTTTCTCTCTGCAAAACACGCACATCTGCCGCTCATTTTTCTCTATCCTGACGACTCTACCTAAAAGCCACAATTTTGTTTTATAGACTACCTGGCCACTTCTGCTGTCCCTACATTCGCTGACCTTCCCCGACTATAAACTATTTACCCGATAGATCTTCACAAACCAAATAAGGTCACGTCACTCTCCTTGTCGAAAACCCTCCCATACTTTCCCGTTGCGTCTGGAACAAAATCAAATCCAAACACACACTTGGTTCGTTAGTGAATCTATAGACAGGATCTCACTGTTTAGCCCAGGTTGCCGTGCAACTGATGGCCCTCCAGTTTCCTCTTCCCCAGTGCTGGGATCCGCAGGCGCGTGCCCACCCGAATCCCCGCTCTGGCCTCTGCCGACCTTTTTCTCCTACCCCTCTTTAGTCACCCGGGCCATTTGGCAGGTCCCTGAGCATGACAACCTTTCCGCTTTCTCTCTCCCCAGTGGCTGTCTCCTGTCTCTGAAACAGTCTGCACCTGAACCTCACACGACAAATCTTTAAGATCCCAGTGGCCTCTGTCTCAAACCACCATGGAGCCCGCAGCAGCCCACAGCGCCGGGCTGAGCCGACGCCCCCTCAGGAAGACTCGGCAGAGCAGTCCTGGGAGCCGCCGGCCGGCGCGCGGTTTCGCTTCCGGGTGAGGGGCGGGCGGGCCAAGCAGTTCCGGGGCGGGCGGCGGCTGCGGGTCCCGGCGCGGAGGGCGCGAGCGCGCGGCGCGGGCCGAGGGCCGAGGGCGGCGGCGCGGGGACCCCGGGGCCCGGCGGCCCATGGGGCGCGAGGCGTGAAGCCGCGGCCTGCCCTGCGGTGGGGGGGTGGGGGGAGCGGGGCGGGGCGATGGATAAACTGACCATCATCTCAGGATGTCTCTTTCTGGCCGCCGATATCTTCGCCATCGCCAGCATCGCCAACCCGGACTGGATCAACACCGGGGAGTCGGCGGGTGAGTGGCTTGCGCGGGCCGGGAGGGCGGCCGTCCCCCGGGGGTCGGCGGTCCCGAGGGTTAAAGGTCGGCGCCGGGGTGGGGGCGGGTGGAGGCTGCTTAGCTGTGGCTCCCCCCTTTCAAGTGTATGTGGTTATAATCTTTGCTTTATTTTAGGCCCGGGAGCTATAATAATACTAATAATAAACTTCATTTTATGGAGCATCTTTCATTCCAGCGCATCTCGCGCACACGCGCGCGCACGCACAGACACACACAGACACACACAGACACACACGCACGCACACACACACGCTGGAGATACCTTAATAGTAGTTAGAAAATTAAATAACACGTTAGAGTCGCAGGCAGCCCCAGCGGCACTGCCTGCTGGAACCCTGGAGCAGGAGGCGGGTTTGTGTGTGGGGGTGCTCTCACGAAAGGGGCGGGCATCTTTCCGAAGGGTATCCCAGGTGAATGCCTTGGCAGGGTTCTCTACTCCAGCCCTCTTTCCTACTCCCTCTTGCTCTCTCTCTCACCCAGACCTGCGAGACCAACCAACCCTTTAGTTAATGTAACCGTTTGTCAGGAGAGCTGCTCAGAATTAAGGACCCGTCCTGTTTTTGAACCGCTTGTTCAGTACAGATGAAGGGATCAAGGAGTGGGAATGTCAGAGCTCCTTCAAACGATTTGTTATAAAATGTATGGCTGTACTGTCAAACTTCTTAAGTGTCACTTAGGGATCTCGGTTTATCCAGCAATATTTTTAGCTCCTAAAAAAAAGGGCTGTAGCTGGGACATTTGTTGCTTCCTCCTCCCTCTCCTCTCCTCTCTAGACCTAGTAGCGCAAGATCATGCTGTCGGATTCACTGGGTGTTAAAGTAACACTAAAGAATTATGCTTCTCTTGGCTGTAGAGTTTTAGCAGAGCTCTCCATTGTAACGGGTATAAAGGGTGTTTTGGAATCATGTGGAATTTGGAAATACCTGTGGGCTGTTTCTAAAAGTGTCGATGACTCCAGACAATTTATTCAGCTATGTGTGTGACATTCAGTCCATTACCACTGTTGTTTTTACTCTAATTGTATCTGGAATGACTCCTTTGTGAGACTTTCTTTGGGGCTTTACATATTTAGGAGCAAAGGGATCACACTGTTGAGTAGAGAGATCCTTGTTGAAAAAAGATTTGTAGGTGGAATCCCTGGTAGGCGGTGGGTGAAATGTCCAGGAGCAAGATAGACTGGGGAAGGGAACTATTACTGTACATTATATAAGAGAAGAGAGCAGCAGTGGTGCAGCATTCCTGAGGTGATGTTGCAGAGGCCACTCACATCCAAAAGAAAGCAAGAGTGGAACGAACACAGCACCTTCAGATCAGCTGGAGTTGGCAAAGACGTGGGAGGGACGGCAGTCCAAAGTTTGAAGAAAGTAAAACAATGCTTGAAAAAAGGAAATCGCTGCAGAGAGCATGCCAGATGGTCAGGCAGCAAAACCTTTGTGGATGTCAGTGGTTGTGAGTGTACATGCAGTATGACCGCCTTCCTGCCCCACTGACCTCAGGCCAGCTGCTTTGAGACCCATGTAACTGAGGTAGTGAATTTTCTAAATGCCCTTGGAAATAAGAAAGCATCAAAACTACTAATATGAATCCTAATAGAGGTCTTCATATACCTGGAAAAAAAGAAAGGAAAGAAAGAAGAAAGACAAAGCAGCTAAGGTGTGGAGGGTATTGGCCAAGTAGCTATGTAATGAAAACTCACGGTAAAGAGGAAAAACCTAATGGTTTGTGGACACAATGAAGTTGAAGGCCAGAGAGAAGGGGTGCTATAGCAGAGTGCAGTGGCAGGACGAGGTGGGCGTAAGACCCAGTGCTGAAATGAAGTGAGAGCGCTTTAGAGATGGGCTTGTCCACCTGGCAGTTTCCCTCTCTGCCTCAGGGTATCCTTCAGATAAATATCGTTTTCAGAATTCTCTTAGTTCTTACCCTAAGCGAGTCAAAGACATAGATCCCCTAAAAGTTAAAGTTAAAGGTGGGATTGCAGATTATTGTTAAGCGCCTGCCTTGTGTGGGTGAGACCCTGGGTTCAGTGGGCATCTGGGGAGGGTGAGAGGGAGAGGACTGAAGTCCTCCTCTGGTGAGTGCGTGCTCTCTGGCAAGGTACTCCTGAACTGAACATTCATCTGGATGCTTGGTGTGCAGTGTTACCTGGGCAAACAGATGTTGTCTTAGGTTTAAAAGCAAAACCAAAACATTAAATTAAAAAAATAAAAAAAACAATAGTTACATCTTTTCAAATCAAAACAGTTACAAGAAGTACAACTAGGATGTGGGGTGTCAGGACTGGCCTCACCCCAAGGTCTCCACAAGAGTGACTTCACTTGGTAGCAAAAATTAGCAATTTCCCTTCAATGTACTATATTCAGCCTGTATTGATTTTGATTGTGGTGTTTTGTTACAATATTTTTCAAAGTTTATTTTACTTTATGTCTATGGGTATTTTGCCTACATGTATGTGTGTATGCCTGGTATTGGATGAAGCCAGAAGAGGTGGTCAGATGCCCTGAGACCGAAGAGCTGTAGATGCTGGAAATCAGATCAGGGTCCTTTAGAAGAGCAGCCAGTGCTCTTAACCTCTGAGCCATCTCTCCAGCCATCTTACTGCAAATTTTTAAATGATTTTTTTAAAAATACATCTGCAGCAGACCTCTTAGAACTAAAATGATCTGCACAATGTAGTCTGAAGACCATGTAGTGAACTAAGGAAAGCTCAGGGTTCAGATCCAAGTACCACCGTTTGCTGGCATTGTGGCATTGGCTCCAGTCCTGTAGCCTCTCCATGTCTGTTTCCTCCCCTGTGAAACAAAGACAGTAGCTACCTCCTTGGCTTCTAGTGATGGTAAATGCATTAATTCACATGAAGGATTAAAAATGGTACGTGGACTGGTGATGGTGGTGCACTCTAATCCCAGCACTTAGGAGGCAAAGGCAGGCAGATCTCTGTGAGTTCAAGGCCAGCCTGATCTACACAGGGAGTTCTATGACAGTAAGGGCTACACAGAGAAACCCTGTCTTGAAAAATCAAAAACAAACAAATAAACAAAAATGATGCCCAACATTTGTGTTGCTGTTTTTCAGTAAGCCTTAAACTTTTGCTGTGGGAAATGACTTCACTAGATGTTATTGGAAATATGTAAACATCAAGGGTAACAGACCTGAGCTTAGAGTTAGGTGTCTCCCCTCTTGCTTTGTGCTTTCTCTGTCAGTCTGCATTGAGCCTCTCGCTCCATTTCCCATCCCCATACTCTAACCTTGGTGCCCTTAGTGTCTGTGTCACACACAAACCCCCCCGCTGAGAAGCTGGGTTACCAGATGATTGGGACCACACTTTGGAGTGGCAGAGTTTTAAGTTTGTTTTTGTTGTGCTGGTCCAATACAGAAAGGGTACATTCTGTGTATTTTTACTTAGCTGTGGGAACCTTTCCAGCATTTGTTCTGATAGCTACCGCTTCGGCAGATATAATGAAACAGTGTTTGCAAAGGAAAATGCCTGGGGAAAGCACTTCAAGAAGGACCCTTAGCAGTGTCCATTAATACAACCAGGAATGTTTAGTGCTGGGTAGATACAATGACACAGTTACATACTCTGTCTGTGGAGGGCAGATTCCCACTGGCTAGCGGACTCAGCAGTAACAACGATATTGCTTATGTAGTGTATGGTATCTGAAGTCTAGAGACTTCAACTATGTGCATTTGGCTGATTGTCATTTCCACATTTCCCGTTTTTCAGTGTTGTATGTGACATGTGAGTGTCTCCATGGCCAGGGTTATTTTTAAGAAAACTTTGCTGGGGTTGTGGTAGTGTAGTACACTTGTCTGGTATGCAGAAGGCCAAGTTTGAGTACTGGGAAGGAATCTGCTCCTTCAAATGTTACCTTCAGTTTTTATTTGTCTTAAATGAGGTTTAAATTAAATTCTTTGGGGATTCAAATTTTTGCCAGATTACAAGGGCAGATTTGAGTTTCAGTCTCCAAATGTTGGATTTGAGCTTCATAGACACTTCTTAACCTCACTGTCACTCTTTCCTTTTGTCCCTAAAGGAACAAACTTTGTTGTGGCAATAAAAAGAAAAGAAATGCTCTAAAATTGTACATGATCAGCAGTTAAGCTTTCTTAGGTCTCTAGATTCCTGTGTGGAGGTATCATCCCTCTACAGCAAGCGTTTCTGTGACCTCCCTAAACCCTGTGCTCTGTGAAGGCTGCTGGAGCTTCTTCCCTACATCCAACCAGAGTCTAGATTGGGCGTGTAAGGAAAGGCTACTGCATTTGCTCCTGAAGGCCTTTCCATTCTTCTTTCTGTTCAGATGGATGTTGGTGTTTGAATGCGCAGGTGAGAGGGGCGCCTCAGACATTGACAGCCTCATCCCTGCTACGCTTTCTGGTTTTAGAGACAGGATCCATTTCAGGCTGGCCCTGAGCTCATTGTATGAGTGAATGTTCTCTAAAAGGACAGAACCAAAACTCTGTGTGTGTGTGTGTGTGTGTGTGTGTGTGTGTGTGTGTGTGTGTGTGTGTTTTTAATATATATATGTATATATTATAAGAGAATGTCCTAGAGTGACTTCAGCAGACAGGACTGTGTGTTTATCAGTGGCCATTTACATGATGGAGAGGCTGAGAAGCTGCTCTGTCCAGGACTAGAAGCCTCAGCAGCCCAGACTGGCTCTAAAGATTTACAAGGCCCAAGGCTGGATTCCCATGGCAGCAGCAACAACAGGATAGACAGTGGCAAGAAGAGAGGCAGGCAAGCAACACTGTTTTCCTCTGACCTGTCTAGATGGAGACTGTCCTCTAGGTATTACCTTCTCTGAGGAGGGTCTATCCTTTCTGGAAATACCTTCACAGACCAGACCAAAGATGTGTCCCTTAGCTGTTTCTAGAGCTGGTCAAGTTGATAAGATTATCACATTCACAGTGTAGTTCAGTCAGATCAGCCTACTGTCCTGCCTCTGCATCTTGCCAAT